AGATAATTTCATAACAAATAATGACATAGAAATACATTACATATAGATACAGGAAAAGGTCTCAAAGTTATGAAGACACTGAGTCAATATACTTCCAAATCGTCAAATTGACTGCTTTGGGAGTTTTAGTGTTAAAAGGTGATAAAGATGCGCTTGTATCTACATATTTATTCTCAATAGTTGTCAATAAAACTTGCTACTATGATGTTACTGTGAACATATCTCAAGTCTTGAATATCAAATACATAGACTGGTAATGCAGATGTAAGTTTTATAGCTTAGTAGTTGTCAATAAAACTAACTTCTCTGATACAATTGTAAACATATCTGAAAGTAAAAGTCTAAGAATATAAAACCCATGGACTGGCAGTGGTCTCAAACCCTCTCCCGCTCACATCTGTGCTGCTACTATTTTACCAGTGCAGCGGTAACACACAGTGATGACCCACTTGAGTTTGGCCCGTTGCATTGTGGGAACAGCTCTGATCGCTCGGTGGGGGGCCTTCTGGATCACAGGGAATACATTAGCATAGCATTGAGGTGGCTCTGCTTTAGACTCACAGTATCAGGCCACTCTCCGCTGCCCGCTGTCAGACGCACTCGCCAACTGTGCCGAGCGACGGACCAAAAACTTACTTTTGCTCGACCTTTCAAACTCCAGAAGCATTTCCAAAACACGGAGATGTGTTTGAGGAAGACTTTTCTGTCTGTCATGTCGCTTTGGTTCAGCTGAAAATTGCCAAAATATGTATCAGCAGCAGAACTATCCGGTTTTGTCCTCAGATTACTTTGATTGAATGGGTTAGACACTATACAGATGCATTGTTGTCATTGTATCAGGGACGTGCAGTCAGGGGAGGCAGGGGAGGCAGAGCCTCACCTGCCATTATTGGAAACTAATAATTATTTTAGTTTAAATATATAATTTATATCCACTGTCCTATGCTTTTAATGTATATTCGGCACGGTTCCCATCAGTTTTGATCATTTCTGAAGTTAAAATCGCCGAAATCCCGTTATTCCTATTCAAAGAGACGAGGTGAGGCAGCGCTCCTGCGTGCCTCACCCCAGACCGCTCCCTCACAGTGTGTGTGTGTGTGTCTGAGTGCACTCAGCTCGTGCAGTTGATATATCACCGTTTGTTTCAAATATCCTGCTTTAAAAACATTTTTTAAACTCCTCTTAGTGTTTAGTAGTGTATTGCACGTATGTGTGTACAATTTATATTTAGTTTAAGTCTTTTGATCGTAGATGAACACACAAGGAAAAAGCTTGGCGTGAGGCAGGCGGTATCTGTGCCTCACCGCTAGGGGTGATAGTGAGCATAAAGTTCATACCAGAGTTGCTAACAAACAATCAGCCCAAAATGCTATTTCTTTTGCTGGAAAATGGATGATTTGAATGAAGATTTTTTTTCTCAATTGGACTTTGAAACAAAGAAAGAATTAATATAGACTGGGAGACCACCACTGGACTTACGAGGTTAGTCCGGCTGCGGGGGAGGAGTTTGTTAATCTGTGTTTTATGTTGAACATTGACAGATACCGGCAAAGTAGTGCTTTTCCGAAAAACACTGATTCAAACACTGCTCAAGAGTTCTGCAACTTGTTTAAATTATTGTTCCTCGCGTCTCTCTCTCGTCGCGTCTCCGTCTCTCTCTGCTCCTCGCGTCTCCGTCTCTCTGCTCCTCTCCGTCTCTCTGCTCCTCTCTCCTCGCGTCTCTCTCTCCTCGCGTCTCTGTCTCTCTGCTCCTCGCGTCTCCGTCTCTCTGCTCCTCTCTGTCTCTCTCTGCTCCTCGCGTCTCCGTCTCTCTCTGCTCCTCGCGTCTCCGTCTCTCTGCTCCTCTCTGTCTCTCTCTGCTCCTCTCTCCTCGCGTCTCTCTCTCCTCGCGTCTCCGTCTCTCTCTGCTCCTCTCTGTCTCTCTCTGCTCCTCTCTCCTCGCGTCTCTCTCTCCTCGCGTCTCCGTCTCTCTCTCCTCTCTCTCTCTCTGTCTCTCTCCTCGCGTCTCTCTCTCCTCGCGTCTCCGTCTCTCTCTGCTCCTCGCGTCTCCGTCTCTCTGCTCCTCTCTGTCTCTCTCTGCTCCTCTCTCCTCGCGTCTCTCTCTCCTCGCGTCTCCGTCTCTCTCTGCTCCTCGCGTCTCCGTCTCTCTGCTCCTCTCTGTCTCTCTCTGCTCCTCTCTCCTCGCGTCTCTCTCTCGTCGCGTCTCTCTCTCCTCGCGTCTCCGTCTCTCTCTGCTCCTCGCGTCTCCGTCTCTCTGCTCCTCTCTGTCTCTCTCTGCTCCTCTCTCCTCGCGTCTCTCTCTCCTCGCGTCTCCGTCTCTCTCTGCTCCTCGCGTCTCCGTCTCTCTGCTCCTCTCTGTCTCTCTCTGCTCCTCTCTCCTCGCGTCTCTCTCTCCTCGCGTCTCTCGCACCTGCGCTTCTTAAAGATGTTGTTTGATGCGGAGCAGAGTCAGCAGCTAGATTTGTTGTGAGATTATTAAAAGAAGCTGCTTCTCTTATCTTTACAGTATATAAAGTTTGTGGATGTCATTGCATTGGTGATTAAATGCTATTTTATTTGAATAATGATTGTAAATCTGACTTTTAAAGTCAGTGCCTCCCCAATCACAAACCTCACCGCACGTCCCTGCATTGTATATGTGTATTTTGATGGCTGAGAAGCAGTTTGTAACCTGTTTTGAAAATTTACTCTAGAACTAAAGTTATTATTATTGGAATTTTAATGATTATATTACTTATCAAATAATAGTAGTGGTAGTGGTAATAGTAGTAGTAGTAGTAGTAGTAATGGACTGTGTTAAAACAAGATTTACCAATGAGACAAAAACATTTGGTCTTAATTCAAGAACTGTCGCTTTAGTTTTTCATTCCAAGGCAGACATTTCTTGTATCTTTTTAAAAACCAGATCATTTTGCTTTTCCCCATTGGAAAATCTTGTTTTAAGGCTCAGTCAAAATGTGCTCAAATTAAGACACATTTTGTACCATTTTGACTGACTTTTCTCCACTTTTTGCAGTGTGAGTGACATCAACTTGACTCAACAGCACTGCAAAAAGGGATGGACTTTTGACTGTGAAATTGGCACATTCTGACTGAGCCTTAAAACAAGATTGGCCAATAAAATGATCTTGTTTTAAAAAGATACAAGAAATGTGTCCCTTCGCTGCTACTATTAGAATAAATGTACTTCATCGTCCAGTGGTTCATGATTATTCCACATGATAAATTTTTTGAAACAAAAATAATGTTAATATCAAGTCCAATTATCTTAAAGGTATACTGGAGAATCTTCCCAAATTTTAGAGAAATAAGACCAGAGTTTTTGAACAAAACTCTGGTCTTATTTGACGAGCACATATCACCAGAATGATTGACAGTTAGGACCAATAGTCTTGATGATCCACCCGGAAGTAGAAAACCCTTCTGTATACCTGTAAGTATCCTCAGAGTAAAAAAGTCCATCCATCCATCAAAACGATAAATACACAAAAATCAAGTGAACTACACTAGTCTATATTTTCACTTTTTGAAGTGTTGGAATGAGAAAAAAAAGCAAAATCTCTTTGTCCGTTTTTGGCAAATCTTGTTTTACCACAGTCAGAATGTGCTCAAACTAGGAAGAACACCACTCAATTCAAGCATTTATTATCCCATATTTTAATATTTTTTGCAGTGTGGGAGTTCTAATGCTAAGAACCAAACAGATGCATGTGTCTAACCTCTTCCAGAATGTTCCATTTTCTTCTCACACACCACATAAGCCCATTGATCAGTCCCGCTCACACATACACCGGCCTTACACCATTTAAACGACACATTGCGTAACCCGTTCTCCGTTTTACATATATGTATATGTAAGATTGGAATTGCGAACGTTCCCTGACCCATTTGGAATCCCCGGAATGAGGGTCGCTCCGTGAAAACCAGCCCCCGACGCAAAACGCAAAAAGAAAGATAAACGCATTGATAGGCGCTCGGGAGCCGCTTTCCAAGATGGCGTCAGGCGCGTTAATAATTCAGGCTCACCACAGGGGGTCGTGCTTTGATGTCTCACTTTGAAGAACCAGAACAGCACTGTGTCTTTTCCTCTGCTTTGACATTGTACAATCAGCCCGACACTAATGTAATCTCCGTTAGCGAGATGCTTTCCACACCGCCAGAGATACGAGATTGCGGCGGCTGCAGCGGCGGCCAGGAGGGAGTGGTCCTTGGTCATACGTTTAGTTTTCAGAGAGAGAGAGAGAGACGAGGATGTGATATTTCTGCTGTGTAATCTTGTGCTGATCAAAGCAGTAGTAGTAATAACACATGTAGTAGTAATGTTAGTATTAATAGCAGTAGTATTAGCAGCAGTAGTAATAGTAATTGCAGTAGTAGTAGTTTTAGCTGCAGCCGTAGTAGTGATAGCAGTAGTAGTAGTGTTATCTAGAAGTATAAGCAGTAGCAGTAGTAGTAATAGTAGTAGTTGCAGGAATAACAAGGAAAGGCAAGTTTATTTACGGGATCCATCCATCCATTTTCTTCCCCTTAATCCATTTCTGGGTCGGGGGGGTGGCAGTACACAGAGCACCAGCCCCTCACTGATCCTCCTGCAGGTGGTGAGTCCACAGGAGCTGAGATCTTTCAGTGGGAGCTTCAGGCAAAGTGGGGTTAAGTGTCTTGCCCAAGGACACTATTTACGGGATTAAAATCATAAATAATCTCTGTACATTAAAAAGAGTAAATATAAAATCCTTCAGTAGCAGTGAATGGATTGCATTTCATAGTTATATTTTCTGTGGGTTTTAATGTTAGGTACCCCAGCTTTAAAGAGCTGTGCGTCCTATTTACTTGCTACCAACATTTTGGCGAATATGAAAAGTTCTCATCTTAAAGAGATATTCGTACCTTTCATATGAACGCAAGTCGGTCTTTTCGATTTTGAAACAACCAAGGCATTATTTTAACTTTTTATAGATTTTCTTTGTCCTATTTTTGATGTTTCTCTCTTTCCTCCACAGGAATCTTGTACAAGGGCAACGGCGAGAATGTGTTCGTGTCCCAGCAGCCACCTGTCATCAGCAGCATCATGGGTGAGTCCACGATGGGCGGCACGGTGGCACTCTCGCCTCTCAGCAAGAAGGTCCTGGGTTCGAATCCCGGTCGGACCAGGGCCTTTCTGAGTGGAGTTTGCATGTTCTCCCCGTGTCTGCGTAGGTTTCCTCCGGGTACTCCGGTTTCCCCTACCACTAAAAATATGTCCAATAGTTCTAGCATGCGCCTCCTGTACTGGCGACCCCGCTCCCATCTCTGTGTGGAGTGAGAGACAAATGCCCATAATTAATAATTGTAAACCGCTTTGAGACTCAGATCTGCAGTGAAAAGGCGGTATATAAATAAAAACTTACTTACTTACTTACTTACGATACACACTGCAACACAACGGTTCATTCACGTGTTTCAGTGAGTCTGCTTGGTTTGGACCATTTCCCCTGCTCTGGTTCAGAGTGAAATTCCCAATGCGTTGTTAGTGTTTAAACAAGATTAATATTCCTGCAGTGTATTTAAACGTGATCTGTTTGGTTGGGACCATCCTCTCTGCTCTGGTCTGGATCAGTGTAAAACCATTAACACTGTACTCTAGTATCATTAACTTTGGTAGAAAAAGGCTGCCGTTTCAAAAGTAAACTTGGACTTGGACTGGGCTGGTTTTAAACAATTCAATTTTTTAAAACAAACCAGTTGTGTGATCGTTGATGAGTTGGAGGACACCTGTCTTTGTATAATGTGTGTGTAACTATGAAAATGAGTTGTGCTAAAAGTCCTTCTAGGGACGGACGTTGCAAATTAGCCTTGACTATTAATATTGCAGTGTTTCACATGTTTCACTTGTCCCCATAAATAAATAAATATGCAAAAGCTTTCAAGTTAAGAATGTAAAAAGCTCCATAAAAACTCAAACTTGACTAATAATGTTACTAGACTCATAACCAGAGAATAGACCTTTCCTTTGGTCCAGAGTCTGCTCCGGCTCTGATTGCACCGAGGAGAAGACAGGTTCATGTTAGCCCTGTGTTTAACTCAAATCAGAGAATTCTTATGCACTAAATAATTACATGAGGCGTGTTGTGAAGGACCGCGCTGGCAGCTTCGTGTGTGTGTGTGTGTGTGTGTGTGTGTGGCAGCTTCATGTGTGTGTGTGTGGCAGCTTCATGTGTGTGTGTGTGTGGCAGCTTCATGTGTGTGTGTGTGGCAGCTTCGTGTGTGTGTGTGTGTGTGTGTGTGTGTGTGGCAGCTTTATGTGTGTGTGTGCTCCACGCTCTCAGGCTGCGGATAACTCCACTTATAACTCCACTTGAGTTTCTCTGTGACGTTTGGGGATATTTTTAGAGAGAGACCAGAGAGAGACCAGAGGGAGACCAGAGAGAGACCAGAGAGAGAGACCAGAGAGAGAGAGACCAGAGAGAGAGACCAGAGGGAGAGACCAGAGAGAGACCAGAGAGAGAGTCCAGAGAGAGAGACCAGAGAGAGACCAGAGATAGAGACCAGAGAGAGAGAGACCAGAGAGAGAGACCAGAGGGAGAGACCAGAGAGAGACCAGAGAGAGAGTCCAGAGAGAGAGACCAGAGAGAGACCAGAGAGAGACCAGAGAGAGACCAGAGAGAGAGACCAGAGAGAGAGTCCAGAGAGAGAGACCAGAGAGAGACCAGATGGAGACCAGACAGAGACCAGAGTGCGACCAGAGAGATACGCAGGAGGCCAGTCCCTGTGCTCCTCAGAGTCCCAGTGGGTTCTAATGGCACTACTAACATAAATATAGTGATGAGTTTTTGTGAGGGGAAGTTTTGGGACATAAAAATCTGAAAAATATATACTCTCTCTCTCTTTCTCTCTAGGTAACGGCCGTCGACGGAGCATCTCGTGTCCCAGCTGTAACGGTCAGGCCGAGGGGAACAAGCTGCTGGCCCCTCTGGCTCTGGCCTGTGGAGCTGACGGCAGTGTGTTCGTGGGAGACTTCAACTACATCCGCCGCATCTTCCCCTCGGGCAACGTCACCAGCGTCATGGAGCTCAGGTATAACTGGTACTGCTACATGGTGGATAGACACACACCCAGAGAGAAAGTACTGTTTTGTTTTGTCCATATTTTGGATACTATGACTTTTTTTCAGTCAGTTCAGTTCAAATACTCTACTTTTATCTTTCTTTGTCTTTCTTTGACTTTCTCTTTGTCTAATGTCCATAAATTCGACTTGAAACACTGAATATTAAATCCAAAAGGCCTCTATCTCTGCCTTCACTGATCCAAAGTTAGCTTCACAGTCAAACACGCTGTCCTTTACTTATTGAATGTCTCGTCTCATCGACTATTTTAGTTTCTTGTTTTTCTCATCGATTCGCTTCCTCTCATTACATCGAGTAAAGAGAGAGGGAAGTGTTTTAGCCCGTAACATATTGGACGTTCGCTCTTTCCCTCATGAAACATTGAGAGCCTGATTCTTAGCCAAAACTAGCAAGACATAAAAGTGCAGCGATGAGAGAAGCAGCTACAGTCAGTGGCTCTAACTACATCTCGGATCTGGAATGGCGTTCCTCTTCGGTGACTTCAGGACCTGAGGCTAGTGCTGCGTCCAACTCTTGCTAACTCCACGTTTCTGCTTCATTTCCCCAGAATCGAGTAGAAAGTTTCCATTTTTGCAATATTCCGCGGTCTGTTATTGTATTAGATTTAGATGGGCGCCAACTGGGAAAAGGCCGAGGTGTTTTTGTGTCACAACTTGAACTGTTTTATTGGGGAGTAGTAATAGAATTTAAAGTACTTTTTGTAGCTATTGGAAAAACCCAAACAGAAACTACTTTATCGTGTAAAAGTTAAAGCTGGGGTACGTAACTTTCAAGCCTTAAACATGCAGATCCTCATTCTATCAAAGGAGTTTGGATCCATCGTTAGTTTTCACATCCATGCATTTTTCGGCTTCTGTTACAGCTTTAGATCAGCGTTTTTGGACATAAAGCCCCAAGAGTCAAATAGTGACTCACAGGGCTCATGCTTTATAAGATTGTGGCTGGATTTCTTCTTTCTCTTTCTGTTGGGACTAGCGAAATGTACAATTTATCAGGGTCAGGTACCCCAGCTTTAATCTTTATGGACTATCAGCAACAAAAAGCTTCAAGGAAGTGAGTCAGAAGTGAGAAGTTGGGAAATGTTTAGTTGGCCACAAACTAAACCAGGGGAGTCCAAACATTTTAGTAAAGGGGCCACTTTAGGTAAACAGTCCCAGCTTGAAAATTGGTTTTGACTTTGGTTGTTCTAAGGATTAGTTCTGAAACAGCTGAAGTTGGCTGAATGACATATGTCCATCTCAAATTACAACATGAACCAAATTTTGTGACCACACCAACTGTTTTGTTATCTTCGACCTTCAGATAACCAAAACATCAAGTGGAAAATCCCTGGCTTCTGTATTGTGTTAGACAAGCTTAGGTCTATTCAAAATTGCTTTGAAAGTGTCGTAATAGATTCATGACACAACCAAAACAAATGTTAGCGTCTACAATTCAAGTCCACGGCTGAATTCTGGAGGTCCTGGATTCTACAACAAGTCTATATTGGCAAAACCAAGCTTGATCCGTTATGGGCCAAGTTTGGACATCATTGAACTAAACTAAACTACACAGTAACATTGTGTGTCCATGTTTACACCTGTGTCTATATTATTAACTTGTGTGAATCTATTTTAATACTACGTCTTCTTGCATGGTCTCTGCTCACTAACCTCTCTCTCTTCTGCTCTTTTCCGCTTTCTCTAAAGAAACAAAGATTTCCGTCATAGGTAAGTGTTTCTAACCCCTGTGTCTGCATCACCTCCTCCTCCTCCTCCTCCTCCTCCTCCTCCTCCTCCTCCTCCTCCTCCTCTCCACGGCTTGCTCTCTGCTCCTTCCTTTGGTTTGCTAATTTCACAGAGACAAGCACCAATTTTATTTTTTGTAAAAACACTCCGAGAATGTATCATTTGTCCAGTTTTGTTGTTGTTGATATTTTTAGGATCAAGATCATTTCATAAACATAATTACATTGAAATTAACTACTAATAGAAACAGAAAAAAATGTACAAAAGCCAGATCCTGTCAGACCTCTGAAGCTAAGCAGGACAGGGCCTGGTTAGTACTGTGATGGGAGACCTCTGGGAACACCAGTTAGCACAGTGGGGCGGCTGCAGCTGTGTCCTTAGGCAAGACACTTCATCCACATTAGAATGAGTCTGGTGTGTGTGTGAATGGTTGGTGGTGGGAGGGGCCAATGGCACAGACTGATTGCCTCGCTTCTGTCAGTGTGTCCCAGGGCAGGTGTGGCTACAATACTCCTTTACCACCACTGTGTTTGGAGTGAATGAATAATGAAATGTGAAGAGTCAAGAATAATAACTTTTGTAAAACACAGAACAACAACTTAACAAATCAAAACCAATGCATGTAAATATTTCTTCTTAAAGCTACACTCTCTGTGCTATAAACACAATGTCATTTCCACGTTAGCCACCTCTTACATTCTTCGCCCGTGTCCTCCTCTTTCCAAACAGTTTGTAAATGCAGATTCAATTACAGTGTAGGTAAGCATAATTCTTAATAAAAACAAAACACACACATTCCCTTTGGACCTCGGCTCCGTTTTCTCTCGCTGTCCTCAGTAATAAGCTCAAGGAGACGCACGGTCGGTCAGCGCTGCCAGGAATAATAGCCTCACGCGCTAAATCGCAGCGGGATATGAAACCAAAATAATTCAGACAGTGACACAATGTATTTACTTATGAGAGCTTAGAGAAACAGGCCTGTGTTGTGTGTCTGGTGTGTGTAATGAAGGGTCGCTAATCTGCTCCGATATGAGGTTAAAGAAGCAGAAAAGACCCCATCGGAGCGCGTTTATAAAAATACGACCATGTTTTTAGACATGTATTTTAGTATTCCGCACAGGTGCCAATGTAATCCTGTGGGAAAGATGTGATATTTTAGAGTAATGTTGAAAAATGTACAAATGTAGAGCGACAAAGGATGGACGCAAACACAGAATGGTCCATGTCTAAGTCCAGGTCTTTTGGAAATTCTGTGGGAAAAGATTTGAAAGTTTTCTCCATCCACTCAGTTGTTTTGTAAAGATGAATGGGCAAAATGTTCAGTCTCTACACTGCAAAAGGTGATGAAAAATAAGTCAAAAAATGTTGTGAGTGAAGATACATTCAGATTGTGTTAACTATTTCTCTCCTTCCTGGTTTTGTGTGTGTGTGTGTGTGTGTGTGTGTCTGTCTGTGTGTGTGTGTGTGTGTGTGTGTGTGTGTGTGTGTGTGTGTCTGTGTGTGTGTTTCAAGGACAACACTTGTCCATAAGAGGCTTTTAGCACCAAAATGCATAAATATAAAATGTACAAATAGTGTCTGTCATGAAGTTTAATAATACAATTCATTAAACATGTGAACAACTGTTTTAAATCCATAACTGGTCTGAACAAGCTATTTTCTTTCGGCAGAATTTGCTGGAATTAGCATTTATTAGCATATCGTAGTAGTAGTAGCAAATGTGTACATTTATTATCAGTTCTGGATCTGGCACCTATTTCTGTCTGAATATCTTGACCAGAATTTAATATATTGCAGACTGAGAATCCTACAGATGTTTACAAAATAGTGTGTTATGTAGGGGGTGGCCTCGTGAAGTCCACATTATCAGGCAGGGAGGAAGCTTTGGTCTTCCGGAAAAAAATGCCAAAATGTGTCTAAGTTTGTGACTGTGTCTTGACAAAATGTGCAAAAGTTAAAGCTATATTTCTCTTTTTTCCGCGCCACTGCAGATAAACTTCACTTGATGATTAATTTAACACATATCACCGCATGTTGGGCGTATCTCTGCGTCCTGTCAAACCACTCCTGTATCTTTCCCCGCTTTTTTCTCTTCCTCCCCCTCTGTCATGTTTCCAACCCCATCCCCACTGTCCCGATCCAAGCCTCCTCCTCTCCCATAATGCATTTTGACACTTCCAGATGATCAAGTGTTGTTTGCGAATCCGATCCTTTCGCCGGTATCTGCGAGCGTTAATTTGAATTCAACACAAAAGCTTTAAACGCATTCAGGCGGAGAAAATAGGCTGGGTTTTTTTCGTCTGGTGTAGAATAATGCAATCCAATTAAAGGTGTAATATTGAGGTGGGGGAGGGTTCTGCACTGGTTCAGCACAAGTCTGGACAAAGAGAGTTTAATTAAAATGGGAGTTTTACCTACAGATTGGTGTTTGTTTACGTGTTAGAAAGAAGAAGCTATAATAAAGATACATCTCTGCTGCTAAATAGTTAGGGCTGCAAGAATGAATTGGCTGACGATAGAAAAGTGTTGGTAAAGCCTAGTTTATACTCGCGCGGCGCGGAGCTTACGGAGGTGACGTGACGTCACTTGCGCAACGCGTTGGTCACCGCAAGGCCCTTACGTCGCCTGCCACGCAGCATCGAAATTTTCTAACTAGGTAAGGGTCGCCGCAAGGAATCTCCGCTGTGATTGGTCCGTGTGTGTGTATTGGAAGGAAGCATGAAGCGGCTGCAGCAGGAGCATGGACGAGGCACTATGGAGCAGAGAGCTTTGTGCTTCGAAGGAAAAGCAGTTTGGGCTCAGAGCCTGATATACAGGAGACAGTGGACTATCTAACATATATATAACTTATATCTAACATATATATAACTTATAAACTGTGCAGTCGTTTGTTTTGCACTGTTCCTGTCTTTGTTTGAATCGTAGCTGCGTTTGTTGCTTTCCTCCTGCACTCGTAAATCGTTCATGTTTGTCTCAGATATTTACCACTATTATTGTTTTGCTGTTTGTGCTGAAAACTATTTAATAATAACTATGTTTCCAACAAGAACTGTGTCTTTATTCACAGCATCACAGTTGAAATGACTTATAAAATAATGAATCCATAAAACTATCACATAAACCTACAGTAGAAACACGTGTAATGAGCTCAAACAGCTTTGTTTGCTATTGTTGTTCTGAAGAGGACAAAGTAGCAGCGTAAATGAGACCGCTCCTGTGTGATCGCCCTCATGTGGTTTGTTGTGGGATTACAACATTCTCCTCAAAACTCCGTAAGGGGAACGCGCCAGTATAACATCAATTGTGCTTACGTAGGTCCACCGCAACCGCTAACGTAAGCCACGCCGCGCGAGTATACACTAGGCTTAATTGTTGCTCCGTGGACCCTAAAGATATTACGACTAAGAAATACACATCAAAGATATGAAATCACAAATACAGCTTTATTAATGTGTTTTGTCCTTTGCCAGCAGTAAAAATCAATACCAGAATTAAAGCCTCAGTGAACAATAATAATTGGTTTGGAAAAAAAGCTAGTACACAAGCTAGTTTAGTTTTGTTTTATCTCTGTGGCTGTAGATCCAGGACTGAGGCAGTAGATCCAGGTCTGAGGCTGTAGATCCAGGACTGAGGCTGTAGATCCAGGACTGAGGCTGTAGATCCAGGGCTGAGGCTGTAGATCCAGGGCTGAGGCTGTAGATCCAGGACTGAGGCTGTAGATCCAGGGCTGAGGCTGTAGATCCAGGACTGAGGCTGTAGATCCAGGACTGAGGCTGTAGATCCAGGACTATAGAGGCTGTAGATCCAGGACTGAGACTGTAGATCCAGGACTAGAGACTGTAGATCCAGGACTGATGCTGTAGATCCAGGACTAGAGGCTGTAGATCCAGGACTGAGACTGTAGATCCAGGACTAGAGACTGTAGATCCAGGACTGATGCTGTAGATCCAGGACTAGAGGCTGTAGATCCAGGACTCAGGCTGTAGATCCAGGACTCAGGCTGTAGAACGAGGACTGAGGAGGCTCGCAGGCCAAGACCGGGATAAACAACTTTGATTAATTATGAATAAAACCTATTTTGCCCCAGCTTTAATGGTATAGGCAAAACAATAGTAGAAATAACACCTGTTTTTTCCCAGGTCTGTGACGTGTAAAGAAGAAAGAAAAGACTTATTTATAGCCGTGTTAATTAGCAGCCTGTGATTATACGGCCACAGGGCACAGCAGCAGCACTGGAGGTTCACTCTGATGTTGACAATGTGACATCACCAAATGCATCATACCAGCAAATAAAAACCATAGTCAAAACCCTATTAATACACATGTTTTGTGATGTGACAAAAAACCAATCATCTGTTAGCATTTCAAGCATCAAAATGTAATAGTTTTTTTTTTATTCCTCCACACACACACACACACACCCACACACATACACACACACACACACAAACACACACACACACACACACAAACACAAACACACACACACACACACACACCCACAAACACACACACAAACACAAACACACACACAAACACACACACAAACACAAACACACGCACACACACGCAAGAAAAAAACTCAAAAAACCCAGTTAAACCAATAACAAGAAGCTTCGACGATTTGAATTCATTTCGACCAATCAGGAAGCTTCGAGGGGTAAACGTGGGCGGGTCTAACTCCAACCGATCTCCAAAGTCTCTCTCTCTCTTCCACTTTAATTAATATTTCTGCGGACACATTTACCCTCACACCACATCCCTTTAACAAAACATTTGAGAATGCAGCCTTGATCAGAAACAAAATTATATAAAAATGAGAAATATCTTAAAAGCTGTGTTTTTTGCCGCGGCTAACTGAGGAATTTTTCAGCTCTCTTTAATGTATCTCTTTGTCCTAATCACAGTCTTGGCTCGGAAATATTTGATTTCAAAACGTTAGATAATTGTCTCTTTCGATCCGAACCGACGCCAAACGCATTACATCCAAACCAGCGAGATCAAATCATTCCAAATATTTGTGTCGTGTGTTGAGCCTGGGCGCAGAAAAAATGAAAAGATCAGTTTTGCGAAGGCCAAAAATGTAACGCTGAAAGGCTCTCCGGACCTTGGGGAGTTGGGAAATTTCAGAACTATTTTCTGTTGGCAAGAATGATAATGGATAAAAGTTTTTTTTTTCTGCTTCAAATGGTTCAAAACAGCTGGTAAGGCCAGGAGCTTCATTACAGATTCAACATTTGGGGCCAGGGTCTTGAACTAAGGCTATTCTTCAAATACCCAAGGACTTTATGGAGTATTTGAGTTCATGTGAGATTGTCCGTGTGTGACTTTTCATTATGCACTAAAATTATTAATTTACACGGTTTAGTTTTTTATTGTAAACTGTGTATGATCTTTGAAAACATGGGACCTGAGATCTAAATGTTCATAATGACTGAAGAATGACTACTGCTACTGCTACTTCTACTGCTACTGCTACTGCTACTTCTACTGCTACTTTTGGTACTGCTGCTACTACGACTGGTATGACAACTGCTACTGCTACCACAGCTACTACTGCTACTGCTACCACTGCTACTACTGCTACTGCTACTACTGCTACTACTGCCACTACTGCTACTGCTACCACTGCTACTGCTATTGCTACTGCTACTACTACTACTACTACTGCTATTACGACTACTACAATTGCTTCTGCTACTACTGCCACTACTGCTACTGCTACTACTACTGCTACCACTGCTACTGCGACTGCTACTGCTACTGATACTGCTACTGCTACTACTGCTACTGCTATTACGACTACTATGATTGCTTCTGCTACTGCTGCTACAACTGCTACTGCTACTACTGCTACTGCTACTACTGCTACTGCTACTGCTGACGCTACTGCTACTACTACTGCGCTTGCTTCTGCTACTGCTACTACTACTACCACTGCTACTCCTTCTACCTCCTTGTACGTATGAATGTGAATGTATATTTATGCTTATTTCCTCTGTCTCCGTAGCAACAACCCCGCCCATCGATACTACTTGGCCACAGACCCGGTGACTGGTCAGCTCTACGTGTCCGACACCAACTCCAGGAGAATCTACCGTCCCAAGATGCTCAGCGGTGCTCGAGACCTCATCAGTAAGACTTTAGCCTGCATCAAAATCTTTGCTTAGCCAGAAATTGAACACACAAAGTTGATCAAACACATTGAGCCAATGAAACGCTTCGACACACCGACACAGGTGATACACAAAGAGAAGCAGTGGCGGCAGAGTCCGAGACACTGACACGATTGTCACGAGACCGGCTTGTTTTGATACACGCTCCAACGCTGTGTTTCCAAGCAGGTTTCTTCAGGAAGAGCGAAACAAGCTCTGGAGCCTCTATGTTGTTTTTCCGTTGCTAATTAAAATCATAAATAAACGCGGTAAAATAAAAAATAGTAAAGATACAAATCCGTCAGTTGAATGCAGCTAAACAGAACTATTTTTAACCTGGATTTGAAAATGGTCAGAGTAGAAGCCTGTCTCGTTTATTTAATACACTACTAATAACTACTACTAAAACTAATAATAAGTTAAATCAGCTTGAAATGCCTTTAGCATGGCACAGTGGTTAGGGCTTTTACCTCACATCAAGAAGTAGGGGTGTGATGATATATCGATTTTTCGATATATCACGATACTTTCTCCCGCGATTCGATTATCGATATGCATTTGCCAAATATCGGTATCGATTTTGAAAAAAAAAATGTTATCAATACTTAATATATGGCTACATTACGCATCTCCATTCTATTTATCATGAAATAAAGAGTAATTTTTCTTTTATTTATGCCATAAATTGGCATATTGTATATTTCTGACCAATTCATCAATAATCGTCGTATCGTGATAAAATCGTTATCGTGATAAAATCGTTATTGTGATATCGTTATTGTGATATTATCGTTATCGTGATATTATTGTTATCGTGATATTATCGTTATTGTGAGCTTTGTATCGTGTATCGTATCGTATCGTGAGGTACCCTTAGGTTCCCACTCCTATCAAGAAGGTCCTGGGTTCGATTCAACCTCCAGGCCTTTCTCTAGGGAGTTTGCATGTACTCCTGTGTCTGCGTAGGTTTCCTCCTGGTGCTCCGGATTTTCCATACCACTAAAAACATATACAATAGGTCTGCCCTGCTCCCATCTCACCAAGGCACTATATAAATCAAGATTACTTACTTATTTACCTGTTTGATTGGTTTGTGATCCTTTACAGAATGTATAATTGTGTGTATATTTTTTTCAGGTAATGGCGAGGTAGTGGCTGGGACCGGGGAGCAGTGTCCTCCGTTTGACGAAGCTCGATGTGGAGATGGAAGAAAGGCCACAGAGGCACAGCTCCTGGGGCCCAAAGGTTCGTAGACACTGCTTAAGTCTGGGGCTGAAATCCAGACTATGCCAGAAATCAATTTAATCAAAATATTAGATAAAGATTAATCAGAGTTTTGATTGATTTTGTTTTACAATATTTACATGTCTTAGTTTGAGCAGAAAATATACAATCAAACAGGAGGTGGGAAAGAAGTAAAAGACCAGAGAGAGACCAGAGAAAGACCAGAGAATGACCAGAGAAAGACCAGAGAAAGACCAGAGAGAGACCAAAGAGAGACCAAAGAGAGACGTGGCCCTCACGTCTGTTCTTATGAAATCTTTTGAGCGGCTTGTGCTGGACTTCATTAAGAGCCAGATCCCTGTGAGTGTTGACCCGCTCCAGTTTGTTACAGACAGAACAGGAGTGTGGAGGATGCCATCTCCTTTGCTCTGAACTCTGTCTACAGTCACTTGGACACTAGTAAATCTGTCGCGAGAATGCTTTTCATCGATTATAGCTCTGCTTTTAACTGCCTTGTCCCAGGTAAACTGATTGAAAAGCTCATGTCCCTTGGTCTGAATGTTGCCATGTGTAAATGGATTTTTAGCTTTTTAACTGACAGATCTCAGAAAGTGAAAATCAATGACTGTTTTTCTGATGTTGTTTCTGTGAGAACTGGTTCTCCTCAGGGATGTATTTTGAGTCCTTTGCTTTTTACTTTGTACACTCACGATTGTGTGTCATCCTCTGACTCAAACTTGATCATCAAATATGCTGATGACACCACCATCATCGGTCTCATCAGTGACAATGATGAATCCTCTTATAGAGCAGAGATACAAAATGTGGTTCAGTGGAGTCAAACTAACAACCTCCAGTTGAACGCATCCAAAACATGTGAACTGGTCTACGACTTCAGTCGCAATAGTTCTCATTTGCCTGTCGTAATCGACAACTCCCAGGTGCAGATCGTAGAGGAGTGCAAGTTTCTGGGTTTAACTCTGTCTAACGACCTGAAATGGGTTAAAAACACTGACCGAGTCGTTAAGAAAGCTTGTCAGCGTCTCTACTTTCTGCGTACACTTAGAGAATTTACTACTAACTCTAAGATTCTGCTTAACTTTTATCGCTGCACCATTGAGAGTTTACTTGTTGGTTCTGTGTCTGTGTGGTTTGGAAACATCACAGATAAAGAAAAGAGAGCTTTAAACAAGGTGCTCCGCTCTGCAAAGAGGACCGTGGGCTGTGAGCTTCCTGTTCTGAAGGTTCTTTATAAATCCAGACTTTTAAACAAAGCTCTTAGGATTGTTAATGACTCTTCTGGCCACCCTGGAAAAGCCATGTTCCAGCTTCTTCCCTCTGGCAGAAGATATTGTTCTCTGAGATGCAGGACATCTCGTTACGCTAACAGTTTTTATCCACAGGCTGTTATCAGTGTGAACAGAGCACTTTAATGATTTGCACTTGTTTTGAAACTGTTTTAGTCGATCGATTTCACAGTGACATTTGCTTACTGTTTTATTTGTTTTATTTCTGTCTTTTATTGTCTGTATTTGTCTGTGCACACTGGAGACTTTTGCTAATGTATTCCAATGTGGGTTTTTTTTACTGCAAATGGCAAATAAACTGAATCTGAATCTGAATCTGAAGACCAGCGAAAGACCAGAGAAAGACCAGAGAGAGACAGGAGAGCGACCAGAGAGCGACCAGAGAGCGACCAGAGAGCGACCAGAGAGTGACCAGAGAGCGACCAGAGAGAGACCAGAGGGAGACCAGAGAGAGATCAGAGAGAAATCAGAGAGAGACCAGAGAGAGATCAGAGAGAAATCAGAGAGAGACCAGAGAGAGATCAGAGAGAGACCAGAGAGAGACTATAGAAAGAGACCAGAGAAAGACCAGAGAGAGAACAGAGAGAAAGAGATGAGAGAGAGAAACCAGAGAGACAGACCAGAGAGAGAGACCAGAGAATGGGACCATGGAAAGTGACCAGAGAAATAGAGACACCAGAGAGACAGCGATACCAGAGAGACCAGAGAGAGGGACCATGGAAAGGGACCAGAGAAAGAGAGACACCAGTGAGACAGCGATACCAGAGAGACCAGAGAGAGGGAAAGAAGAAAAAACTTGGAGACTACCAACCCACAAACATAATTTAAACACATATAAACACATATATATTTAGTTGAGGGAATATTTGAATTAGTTTGAAATTCTCACTTCATCATTGACTTTTTTAAATCCAATTTACGCAGTAGCACCTCAGCAGTTGGATGTGTGGTGTGTAGATCCTGGTTGTAACACCATCTGCTTCCTGTTTGTGCGACGCCCAAGGGTTTCTCCTGTCGCATTCACACTTGTTTAAACGACTGCGCAGCATGGCTAATGAATAAAGTCAACTAGATTTAGCTTTTGAGTTAGTTAGTTAGTTAGTTTAGTTAGTTTTGATGTGGTAAATGTGTTTTTCTGCTAGTTTCATCGTCAATTATCTCCAGAACTGACTGTGGATAGATGTCACGTCAACTCTATACTGTTCGAGGCTATGGCACCTGGTTTTACAACGGTCTTCCATCCAAGTTCAATTCAATGCATTTTTGCATAGTCCGTAATCACAACAGCAACCGTCTCGAAGGACTTTGTAAAGTTGACAATTCGCCAACAGCAGATCAGAGGATCAAAACCGTTCTCTTGTGTCTTCTGTTCATAGGGATTGCGGTGGATAAGAACGGACTCATTTACTTTGTGGACGGAACGATGATCCGGAAAGTGGACAGAAACGGCGTCATCTCGACGGTATTGGGCAGCAACGACCTGACCTCAGCCAGACCCCTGACCTGCGACACCAGCATGCACATACGACAGGTAACACTGGGAGAATAGGAATGAACAGGTTTATTCAACAGCAGGAAAAATCACCTTGGACATGTTTTTAGTTGGTTTAGTTTGGCTCCTCCTAGTCTTCTGAGGCCCCTCAACTGCAAAAAATGATGAAATATGAAGTAGTAATTGCTTATGTTATTTAGTTTGAGTTTATTCTGACAAGATTCTCCAGTAAGACAAAGCCATTTAGTCCTATTCCAAGAGCGGTTGCTAAAGTTTCTCATTCCAATAGAGACATTTCTTGTATATTTTTAAAACAAGATCATTTTGCTTCGTCCCATTGGCAAATCTTGTTTTAAAGGCAGTGAAAATGTGCTCAAATTAAGCCATTTTTAACTTATTTTTCCAGTAAATGCAGGAACCACCTTCAAACTCCTTCAAACTTGGACAGTGTAAGCAAAGCAATTTGTTGGAACTTGGTCAGAAAGATGTATAAAAATTTGGCTTTTGATTGGTGTATTGAACTCATAGATGAAAAAGAGTCTAATAATCAGCTCCAGGTGAGAACAACCTCCTCCTTCTTCTGGGACTCAGCTCTCAATATTTTAACTACTCAGAAAATGAGGCCTGGAGTCCAAACACTGAAACAGCAGATGAATCTTTTGAAACTGCAGTTAATTTATGGTTAAGAAATATGGATAAGCCACAAGAAGGAGCCCTGGGAGTCACTGCTGCATGCTTTGGGCTGAGAGCGAAGGTGGAGACAGACACAAAACTTACACTATTTTTACATTTCAAAGATATTTTGGATTTGGATATTATTTACTGTTTGGATTGACTCAGGGACCACAAACTTGTAAATGTAGAGTGATACGCCAGTGGTTACATTTTTATTGAACTATTTCTAATTACATTTTGGATTCCAATTTTAGTATATATTGTACTGTGTGACTCAAGAAAACTAGCTTTCAAATGAGGTATAACATGCCAGGGTTTCTCTTGGAAGAAGTTGTGTATGTCTTTGTCTCTGTCTGTGTCTTTGCCTGGCTCTCTCTCTGTCTCTCTGTCTCTTTCTCTGTTTCTGTCTGTCTGTATCTCTCTGTCTCTGTGTGTCTGTCTCTGTCTCTTTGTCTTTTTCGCTCTATGTCTGTCTCTCTCTTTCTTTGTGTCTCTGTCTCTTTCTGTCACTTCTATAATAATATCAACCAAAGGCATCGCAATCATTAAACCAAACCCAAGCTACTCTTAACCCACAAAATACTTCATACCCTTTTCATTCCCTTCTTTTGCACTTTGACTCCACCCTGCAGCATCACCCAGACCAAAACACGGACTAAAATAAAACCCTGTGAAATGCATATCGCGTTGTTCGAGCTTTATTGTCCAGCCGTTATGTCAAAGGATCACACGGAACGCCTCCCACAATCTCTGGCTCCGTTTGGCCTTTCTATCTGCGCGAGCTGTCGGCTAGCTTCAGCACAGTGGGAGGCAGCAGAGGTCTCACTCGGATCCCGCAGTCTGGAGCCACGCGGTTGACCAATGAGAGAGCCTGCTTCTGCTCACGGCTACAGCTCGCGGACTCTGGACTTCACGGAGTTTAGCTTCCGTTTGACTCGAAAACCCGACCTCTGCCTAGGCTCCGAGACGCTAGCTTCCCACACACACACACACACACACACACACCTACACACATTCACACACACACACACACACACATACACGCTTTGCCCAGATTCAAAACTTTTATTAATGATCGTCTTGTGTGTGTTCTGTGAAGATTGCAAGCATACAGTGAGGCAAAACAATATTCAGATTCAGTTTATTTGCCGTTTGCAGTAAAACCATATTGGAATACTTTACCGAGACAAGTATAGGCATGAAACTAGCTAGTAAAGAGATAAACAAAAATGCATTGTATTGTACTACAACTACTAATATAACTACTACTGCTACTACTATTTTCACTGCTTGTGCTACTATGACGACTCCTACAACTGTTTCTGGTATTACTACTAAAACTTGTAAATTAGCACTACTGCTATTAGCTCTAGAATGCAACGCTCCTGCTAATGTTTATTGCACCCTGTCCCTGTAACAGAACAAAAAAACATACAATACCATATAACAAATGAGAAATCAGAAATGTAATGCAAATGTGGCTAAGTTTTGAGCTAAGTCTTGAGCAAGGTTTCAAGCTAAGTCTTGAGCTATAAGTCCAACTTTTGCCGGTGTAAGTTGAGAAAAAAATTATTTAATTGAGAAAACAGGGTGTGAATTTAGTGGTATGGGAAAACACTTAGCTGCAAATTGTTTAAAAAAATTGATAATATGGTACCTCCCCTTTAATCAACTCATCAGATCATCAGCTGCTAGACATTACCCCACTCATTACAGTGAATCCAATCCAATACTTTAATCAGTGGTACATGCAATCCTCTTTTAGTATTACAATAGAGAAGTGGAACTATAGTGGATATTCAGACTGAAGAACTCCCCCCGTTGCTTCACGGTAGCTTTCATTCATGCAGCAACCCTCCTCCTCCCCATCTCCGCCATATCAGCCCCAAACCACAGGGTCTACGCCCCTTTCGGATCTTTTCTCATAATCTCCATCTTCATTTCCCCTTCTGCAATGGCCGTGGTCTAATCTTAACAAGATTTCTCGTACGGCAACAAAAAATATAATATCGCAAATACTGTTTTCAGAGTCATGTGTGCTACTGCAGTGTTTGCTAATCGCCAACCAACATGCAAGTCTAATAAAGCCCCTGTTTTTCTGTTGAGTCTCTCCAGATTGAACTAGTATACTCCTATGTAAGACAAGTTCAAGCTCCACTGATGTGAATCTGAGTCAAGACAGACTCAAATATTTTCGTCTTTTGCCGTAGGTCCGTCTGGAGTGGCCCACAGACCTGGCCATCAACCCCATGGACAACTCTATCTTTGTCCTGGATAACAATGTGGTGCTGCAGATCACTGAGAACAGACAGGTAAAGTCACTGATATTAGAGCATGAGCCTGATTTTGATTTGCATTGTCCACGTTTTTGTCGTAATTTATCCAAAAAAAAAATTGTATGGAAGAGTGAATGATGCGCTATATTATACTATATCAGTGTTTTTCAACCAGTGGGCCATGGAACGTTGGTTCGCCTTGAGATGTTGTATGGTGTGCCTTTGGAAATGGTCCAGTGTTACTACCTGTTTGGTCAAAATTAAGTGAAAATAAAATAATGTGAGAAGGTCAGAAAGACTGTTTTGGGTCAATGGAAAAGGTGTGCCGCGGGTCACAAGAGTTGGGGAACGCTGATATAAAGAATACTTCCTCACTCTCTGATTGGCTGTCAGGTCCGCATCGTGGCGGGGCGGCCCATGCACTGCCAGGTCCCGGGGATCGAGTACACTCTGGGGAAGAGGGCGGTGCAGACCATGCTGGAGGGAGCCACGGCCATCGCTCTGTCCTACAGCGGAGTCCTGTACATCGCAGAGACCGACGAGAAGAAGATCCACCGCATCAGACAGGTCAGCGGGAACACTGGGAATACTGAGGACAGGTCAGCGGGAATACTGGGAATACTGAGGACAGGTCAGCGGGAATACTGGGAATACTGAGGACAGGTCAGCGGGAAAACTGGGAATAATGGGAATAACGGGAATACAGAGAACACTGGGAATACTGGTAATATTGGGAATACTGAGGACAGGTCAGCGGGAATACTGGGAATATTGGGAATACTGGGAATTCTGCAAATACTGGGAAATGGGAATATTGAGAATACTGGGAAATATTGGGAATACTGGGGTTTAGCTTCTCGCTCTCTAAACAATTACTTCTATCAGTCGTTTTCACATACTTGGATATTTGGCTTCTTTCACATCTTTAGATCAGCTTTTCCAAACAGAAAAGTGAAAGAGAGAGAACTGCCCACACTCAACCATCATCTCTCAGCCCAAAGAGTCAAATAGTGACTTAAAGGGCTCTCACTGTTTTTTTTTTGTATTAAGCTAAAGTAGCACATTATGGTCTGATATGTTCACTCACAACAATTTTTAATTTAGCTGTTTCTTAAATGTCACCTGGACAAAACCACACAATCAGACAGAGATTAGTTTTATTCTTAGCCACACGGCAAAGTGGCCTTGCAGCTGTGCTCTAACCCACTCTGGTCTTGTTTGACGAGCTCGTACGACAGCCTCTAGTCACATATCCCCAGAATGATTGACAGTTAGGAGGACCAATAGTCTTGATGATCCACCCGGAAAAATAAAATCCTCCTGTATATATGTTTAAATGGAAGACTGAATCACCCTCAGTGCAAGAAGAAGCACCACCCAAGGAACTTTATCCCCACCACTGTCAGACTGTACAATAAGTCACTTTATGACGATCTGCACTAGGACTGTAAACTTTGCACTGCCGTAGTTACAGTTTAATTGTACACGAAATTCTCTATATGCTTTTGACCTTTTAACATGTGTTTTTGCACACAGAGTGATCTTTTAGGAACCAAATGTAGCATGTGAGATCAATTAACTATATCTTATCTTAAAGACCTTATGACGGGTTTGATTTATTTAGAAATACAGTTTTAATACCATTTTATATTAGAAGAGAACTACTAAAGGTTTCAAAATCAGTTGTTGTTTTTTTTGTCTGATCCCCCCAAATCGAAATAACCCCATAGCAACGCCCTTAGAAACGAAAAAACTTCACAGCCCTTGGTGACGTCAGAGTGGGTACGTTTCAACGCTGTAAGTTGTTTACAATTTGGTATTCGTTCTTTTTTCGCGGATATTCAAGATGACAAGGCCGTGTACAGCGAGTGTGAGATAACTACTAGAATGTAACACTTTGTTGGCACTGAGATAGTCCAGTGGTTGTGTCGATGAACAGCCAATTCAGACACTGGGGTTCAAATCCCACCTCAAACACTTTTTCACACTCAAAACGGCAATTTATGTGTAGTGAGCAATTGTCACCTGTAGAGTGCAGTATTGTGTTGGGCATCAGTGGAGAGAAGAGAGAAAAGGCAGTCCTGTGGCATAGATCCATGGTTTTCAATGCATGGGCGTAACCCGCTATGACGTCACACACAGGTTAGAGCATAGACAACTTAAATTCATGAAAAACACGTTCTTTTTATGAAATATAGGGTTTTTTTTGCCGGAATCTCTTTCAGATTGACATTGTCATGCAATTTTGATATCCACAATTTTTTTTTTTTTAAAGTTAAGGTCTTTAACTTAAATACTGCATTCTCTAGTGCAAGAAGTACATACTTAGATAGATAGATAGATAGATAGATGGCAGAAACACATCCTTCCATACAAACAAAACGTATAAATATATAATTCTAAAAGTAGCTAACAGTAGAAATAAAATGCATTTGTTGTATATACTGTACATCTGCAGATAAATCAGTAATACACTAATGCAAGAACATTTGGGTAAAAGGCCCTGGGGTTGCAAAGAAGAACAAAGAGACACAAATATACCACAAGTGAAAATATATAAATATAAACAGGAGACTTTTGGAACTCAGAAAATGTTGCGTTTGAGATGGGATAAGATAGACTGGATAAATGTACATGTCATATTTGGCACAGATAGGGTCACTCTGATTGTGCAAAAGACAGAAGTGTGCAACATGTTAAAGGTTAAAAATATATAGTCTGTGCAGGATATAATTATGGCCATAGCAGTGCTGGTTTTTTCAGTCCGAGTGCATTTAAAGCAGCAGCATAAGTCAGGAGGTACACACGGAAAGCTGTGTTAGTTGTATGCATTACTTAACTCTCTATAGACCTCTCTGACCATGTTTTTCTCTTCATAAAAGTCAAAGCCCGACTCTGACTCGCTGAAACACGTAAAGATAAAGTTGGCTTAAATCTCAGCTCTCTGTCGGTCGAGAGGATCCCCAACGACGCGTGCCCGTATCATCAAAACCATCCTTTTCAAACTAATAGACCAACGGAGACGATAATTACCCTTTGGCAGCAAAAGGTTTGAACTGGCACCACGCCCGAAAGCCTGATGAAAAATCCAGGGAAACAATTTCATATTTACTGTATGCTGCGGAAAAAAAACAAAAGATTTACAACACGATGTGTCCATCGTGTTGAAGTGTTGAAGGAAGTTGTGGTGGAAGTCGAACTGATCTCAAACTGAACTGAACTCTCTGTGTTTACTGCCAAATGTGAGGAAGTCGCCCCATATACCTGCATGGGAAAGCCAGATTGTCATGGTGTGGATTTTTATTTTTGTACTTTGGTTTTATTTTGACATAAGTTTGGTTTTAGTTGTTCCCCTGTGTTGATTGTCTGGCCCGCCCTGATGTGTTTCACCTGTGTCTGTGTCTATATGTACCCAGTGCTCCTTTCCTCTTGTTGCTGGTTCATTGTATTGTCTGTCGTTGTCAGTCTGTGTTCCTGGTTCCTGGGGTTTGTTTGGATTTTGGTTTCATCTTGGACTTTTATTTGATTTTTATCATTAAACCATTTTTGTTTTTCGCATTCCTGCATTTTGAGTCCTCATCACTTCACCTCAAGACACAGATCCTCTAAGACCTTTGAGGCTAAGCAGGGCAGGGCCTGGTTAGTATTGTGATGGGGGACCTCTGGGAACATTAGGTGCGACAGTGGGGCGGCTGTAAAGTGGCAAACTATTGTTGTGTCCTTAGGCAAGGCAATTCACCCATATTGCCTAGAATGAGTCTGGTGGTGGTGGGAGGGGCTGATCGCATATACTGGTTGCCTCGCTTCTGTCAGTGTGCACCAGGGCAGCTGTGGCTGCACTAGTAGTTCATCACCAGCGTTTATGGAGTGAATGAATAATGGCATGTAAAGCGTCTTTGTGCGTCCTGAAAACAACAATGCATTATTATCACTATTAAAGATATAAAAGTTCACATTATTATCAATTGTTAGATTAACACATTCAATTGTCAGCCAGAAATAATGCGTTGTCCCACTTAAAAAGCTGAGAGATGCCTGTAATCTTCATCCTCGGTCTACCTCAACTATGAGAGACAACCTTATAATCACACTGATCCCATGATGAAAATTACAGGTATTTTATAAAAGAGAAAAAAATTTACAGAATCTATGTTGTGTACATTAGTGTGTGTGTGTGTGTGTGTGTGGAGCTCATCTAGTGTCAAAGGTCGCGAGCACAGGCATAATTCCCGTATAGTTTCACTGTGCGGCAAAAATATGCGAGGCTTGTATTTTTAGCAGACGAGTGCGGCCTCTGCAGCGTGTTGGCGTGCGGCGTGGAGGGGCCTTCGTCTTTTTAAGTGAGAGAACTTGTACACTCGATGGTTGACTAAATATGTTTTGTCCCACTGTATGCAATGGTAAAGAAGTTTTGTCGTTGTTTGTTGGATTATTTCGGGCCCATTTCTCCGTGCTGTGGATGCAAACATACAAAGAATTGTACATGCTTTTCATTATTTATTTGTATCATTTTAGGTCTCAACGGATGGAGAAATCACACATCTGGCTGGAGCCCTGTCTGAATGCGACTGCAAGGTAAAGTCTTGATCCTCCCCGGCAAGAAGTGATGATCAAAAAGTGCTCAAATTTGTCAAAAAGTATCTTAATTTGAACACATAACTGCTTTAATTAAAACAAGATTTGCCAACGGTAAAAAGAAATATTATCTTATTTTGCTACCTCATATTTTCAGCTATGTGTCATATAGTAGCATAACTCACCATGTTGTAAAGCATAGGTGTCCAAAACTGGATCCAGGAAGTACCAGGTGTAGCTACAGGTTTTCATTCCAACCAAGCAGGAGCACAGCAGACTCCTCCCATGCCCTCAAAGTCTCCAAGTTAAGACTGGACTCACTTGAAGACCTGGTTTGACACCCTTTTTTAGAAACACAATCGAATTCTTTGTTCATTCTTGTCCTACTCTTTGTTATTCAAATGTAACCTTTCTTCTGTCTTGTTCCTACAACGTCTCTATTCGGCGAAATAACTTTGATTCTGCCTCAAAAATGGACCAGACAGAGACTCGCGTATGTAAAAATGACTTAACCACAGAACGGTCCAGTCCATATCAATGAGGAATGAACCCTCGCAGTGTATTGCCTGAGATTAGAAGAGCACATAAGGCAATAAAACGCCACAATGAATTTCACTTTTATCTCCTGCTCTGGCAATTTATTAATAATACATCGGGATCAGGGCATTACATTCAGGAGAGGGTCTGCTTCTCCTGTCCGATCCGGTGTCCACTTGTCCTCGATTAGACGTTAACTTGAATTATTGATGTAATGTTATTCTCCCCTGCTCTCTGCTTTTTGGGCTCCGTACTATATCTCAATGCAACCGGGAAAAGACACGCGCAGATATAGATTTACATTGGGAGAAAGATGGGTAATGGGTCCTGCACTGTAAAAAGTGATGAGAGTGGAGTCAAAAACTGCTCAAATTTGGAAACATAAAGTAGCAATATGTAAGATTTTCATGTCAAGTTAAAGGGCCTTAATCTGTCAAGAGCATAAATAAAACCTGCTCTTTTCCAATACTTCTTTAACTGACAACAGTAGTTCAGAGATATTTGAATTCCTAAATTAATTTTCCAGCCCCTAAATATTGTTATTGTTTTCATTTCGATGTCCCGCCCTCCACCGTTTCACCAATCAGAAAGTCTGTGATCCGGGTTGCCAGAACTCACTGTGTCGAGCTAATCTCACTGGTAAAGTTCCATGTTGCCACAGAACTAAAAAAGGTCTCGTTATGATTCTCAAATCATTAACGACAAAACAAGGAATAAAACCAGGATTTCTATCTTTGTGAAGAAGGTGTTGGTTATAGATTTATTGTTGACAAAACTCTTGTCTATTCCGATATTATGGTCCCAGCTGGATTCATCTGCATATCTGGCAACCTGAGTCAGGGAGAGTGGGAGAGGCTGCAGTACCACTTTTAGCCACATTTTTACATACAGCTGCTTTAATTTGAGCACATTCTGACTGAGCCTTACAAGATTTGCCAATGGGACAAAACAAAATGATCTTGTTTTAAAAAGACACAATAAATGTCTCCCTTGGAATGAGAAAATAAAGCAACAGTTCTTGAAATTAGACTAAAGGGCTTTGTCCCTTCCTGCTTCCCATGGACCAATGGCTCCTATGCTCCTGATTCTCTGATCTGTTGTTGAGGAATCCACAACTTTGTAAAGTCCAACAAGACGACTGCTGTTGTGACTCCTAATAATCATCATTACAAATATCTTAGCGTGGCCTTTTTGTGGTCCGCCTCAAGAATCTTATGTCTTATTTACGAAGAGGACAACTTTGTATAGTCCTCCGAGACATCTGCTGATTTAGAGTTATATAGAAAATAAATCAAATAAAACCTTCACTTTTCTCTTCACTTTCTTCCCCAGAACGACGCTAACTGTGACTGCTACCAGACCGGCGATGGCTACGCTAAAGACGCCCGTCTGAACTGCCCCTCCTCCCTCGTGGTGTCTCCAGACGGGACGCTGTTTGTGGCCGATCTGGGGAACATCCGGATCCGGGCCATCAGACGCAACCAGCCCCCTACAGGTGAGAGATGGAACTGCAACACATGGCAAAAACAAGGGAATACACCTCAATTAGATAATAAAGACGTTGGAATACTGTTTTTTTTTCCCAAAACTTTAAACTTTTATGGGCATTATATCTATATCTAGATTTCAAAGCACAACAATTGAATGATCTACTAAAATCCATCAAGTTTCTATTTCTCTCAATATTGGGTTCTATCACTAGCTAAATGTATGTAATGTATATTTTAGATTTTCAGACAGAAAGTGAAAAGGAGATGCCCAAAGCGTCAAATAGCGACTCACAGGGCTCTTTCTTACTTTCTCACGAATATGCTGGTTAAAGTTTTAAAGTTTTCTTATATATTAAAGACAGAATTTTACTTTTACACAACTCTCTCTGACAAACCCAACAGTTTGCTACCCCAGGTTTCAATGCATCTTATTGTCTATATATAGATAGATAGATAGATAGATAGATAGATAGATAGATAGATAGATGGAGATAGATATAGAGAGAGAGATTTCATTAACGCATTAACTGCCAGCCGTTTTTGATGATTTCACTCATTTTAAAGACCCACAGAATAATATATACTGTGACTATGTAAAATATGAAACAAGATTCTGAAAGATTGGACTGTCTACTTTCAGCAGCAAAAATAATTTTGTTTCAAGCTAATTTTTTTCTCCTGTAATTTCCAGTCGAAAAGAGGGAAGTTTGACAGAAATCACCGGTCTCAGATAAAAACGTCAATGGCAGTCAATGGGTTAAGGTTCCGAAATACATCCATCCATACAAACAAGAAAATACAATAACTAGAAACTTGCAATGGCTGAAGCCATTGCGATTGACTGCGGAACAGATCTAATGTGGAAATCTGCTAAAAAAAATCCTTGAAATCCTTTAAAAGGCCTTGAAACTGTTAAAATACTTGATAGATATTTGAAACTCCTGAAGTCCTTGAAATTGTTGAAACCTTTAAACTCCTGAAATCCTTGAAACTGTTGAAACATTGAAACTCCTGAAATCCTTGAAACTTTTTTAAACCTGGAAACTGTTGAAAGTGTGGAAACTCCTGAAATCCTTGAACCTCCTGATATCCTTGAAACTGGTTAAATTCTTAAACAGTTGGAAATCCTTGAAACTACTGAATGTATTGAAAGTGTCCTTGAAACTGAAAAATCCCCTCACCGCTGAAACAATTTGGTTCCTGTAACTAAGGAAACCTGGTCTGTGGTCATTATCTGGTGGTGGTCTGAGTCTTCGTTTGGGTCTTGGTCTGGTGGTATAATGCAACCTATTAGGTTGCATTATACTGGTTTACATGGAAAAATCCCTATTAGGTTGCATTATACTGGTTTACATGGAAAAATCCCTATTAGGTTGCATTATACTGGTTTACATGGAAAAATCCCTATTAAGTTGCATTATACTGGTTTACATGGAAAAATCTCTATTAAGTTGCATTATACTGGTTTACATGGAAAAATCCCTATTAGGTTGCATTATACTGGTTTACATGTACAAATCCCTATTAAGTTGCTTTATACTGGTTTACATGTAAAAACCCCTATTAGGTTACATTATAGTGGTTTACATGTAAAAATCCTTATTAAGTTGCATTATACTGGTTTACATGTAAAAACCCCTATTAAGTTCCATTATACTGGTTTACATGTAAAAACCCTATTAAGTTGCATTATACTGGTTTACATGAAAAAAACCCTATTAAGTTGCATTATACTGGTTTACATGGAAAAATCCCTATTAAGTTGCATAATACTGGTTTACATGGAAAAATCCCCATTAAGTTGCATTATACTGGTTTACATGAAAAAAACCCCATTAAGTTGCATTATACTGGTTTACATGGAAAAATCCCTATTAAGTTGCATTATACTGGTTTACATGGAAAAATCCCTATTAAGTTGCATAATACTGGTTTACATGGAAAAATCCCCATTAAGTTGCATTATACTGGTTTACATGTAAAAAACCCTATTAAGTTGCATTATACTGGTTTACATGGAAAAATCCCTATTAAGTTGCATTATACTGGTTTACATGAAAAAAACCCTATTAAGTTGCATTATACTGGTTTACATGGAAAAATCCCTATTAAGTTGCATTGTACTGGTTTACATGGAAAAATCCCTATTAAGTTGCATTATACTGGTTTACATGAAAAAAACCCTATTAAGTTGCATTATACTGGTTTACATGTAAAAACCCCTATTAAGTTGCATTATACTGGTTTACATGGAAAAATCCCTATTAAGTTGCATTATACTGGTTTACATGGAAAAATCCCTATTAAGTTGCATTATACTGGTTTACATGGAAAAATCCCTATTAAGTTGCATTATACTGGTTTACATGGAAAAATCCCTATTAAGTTGCATTATACTGGTTTACATGGAAAAATCCCTATTAAGTTGCATTATACTGGTTTACATGGAAAAATCCCTATTAGGTTGCATTATACTGGTTTACATGTACAAATCCCTATTAAGTTGCTTTATACTGGTTTACATGTAAAAACCCCTATTAGGTTACATTATAGTGGTTTACATGTAAAAATCCTTATTAAGTTGCATTATACTGGTTTACATGTAAAAACCCCTATTAAGTTCCATTATACTGGTTTACATGTAAAAACCCCTATTAAGTTCCATTATACTGGTTTACATGTAAAAACCCTATTAAGTTGCATTATACTGGTTTACATGAAAAAAACCCTATTAAGTTGCATTATACTGGTTTACATGGAAAAATCCCTATTAAGTTGCATAATACTGGTTTACATGGAAAAATCCCCATTAAGTTGCATTATACTGGTTTACATGGAAAAATCCCTATTAAGTTGCATTATACTGGTTTACATGGAAAAATCCCTATTAAGTTGCATAATACTGGTTTACATGGAAAAATCCCCATTAAGTTGCATTATACTGGTTTACATGGAAAAATCCCCATTAAGTTGCATTATACTGGTTTACATGGAAAAATCCCTATTAAGTTGCATTGTACTGGTTTACATGGAAAAAACCCTATTAAGTTGCATTATACTGGTTTACATGGAAAAAACCCTATTAAGTTGCATTATACTGGTTTACATGTAAAAACCCCTATTAAGTTGCATTATACTGGTTTACATGGAAAAATCCCCATTAAGTTGCATTATACTGGTTTACATGAAAAAAAACCCTATTAAGTTGCATTATACTGGTTTACATGAAAAAACCCTATTAAGTTGCATTATACTGGTTTACATGGAAAAATCCCTATTAAGTTGCATTATACTGGTTTACATGGAAAAATCCCTATTAGGTTGCATGATTACACTGAAGTCCTTGAAACTGCTGAAGTCCTTGAAACTGCTGAAGTCCTTGAAACTGCTGAAGTCCTTGAAACTGTTGAAGTCCTTGAAACTCTTGAAATCTTGAAACTGCTGAAATCCTTGAAACTGTTGAATCCTTGAAACTGTTGAATCATTGAAACTGTAGAAATGTCTGAAAGAGCTGAAGTCCTATTAAAATGCATGGGCCTATTAAAATGCATTGCAGAATTCTCAATGCAGATTTTTGTCCGATTGCGGAAAAACCGGAAATCGCTGAAGTCCCAAAAGTAATAGCAATAATCTCCCAAACATGTGGAACGTTTTGATGTATAACTTGTGGAAATTGTTGAAAATGTGAAAGCTGTGAAACGTGTCAAAAAAAATGACGGAATAAAGAAATACAAAACCAATGGTTGACTGCGGAAGGTTCCGCAGTCAATCAAAAAGTACTGAAGAGTTGCGACTGTCTCCTTGGTTCGGACCATTTTCCCTGCTCTGGTTCAGAGTGAATTATCGACTGCTATAATGGACTTGAGCTATAAATGCAGCAACAAGGCAACTCAAAATACCACGTCTCTTGTTTGTTGTATGCCATAATTAAAATGTTCTCCGGTGTAAATGACAGCAGCTAGCTAATTGTTGACTGAGATGCACTTACAGAGCTCTCTGGGGCGGGCTCTAATTGCTTATCTAATGACTTTTTAAAACCTGGTCCTCTCTGCTGCCTCAGGCTCGCTGGCGTCTGGGCCCAGCTCTTACGAGGTGGCGTCTCCGGCCTCTCAGGAGCTCTACGTGTTCGACCTGAACGGGACGCACCAGTTCACCATGTCGCTGGTCACCGGAGACTACAAGTACAACTTCAGCTACAGGTACGGACGCCAGGTTTGGACCAGAAGTTTGTCAGAATGTGTAGTTTATAATATAGAACCACATGTGTCCACTGTCACTTTACTATAGTCACTTTGTCCCATACCCCCAGGCTGCTAGCATGTGCAGAGATTTTACACTTAATTCTTGCTTTTTTATCCTAAAGTTTGTGATTTTATACTTAATTATTGTTTTTTGATGCTAAAGTTATATATTTTGTAGCCTACTATTGTTTTTATGGTAAATTTAGAGATTTAATACTTCTTGTTTTGTTTTCATGCTAAAGTTGGAGATGTTATACTTGATGTTTTTTTATGGTGAAGTTAGAGATTTTATACTTAATTATTATTATGCTAAAGTATGCCAAAACGAAAATAATAATATATAATTACATCAAAATAGTCTAGTCTATAGTCCATGGATTTACAGTTAGCGATTTTGTAAAAGACTTTAGTGACGGACAAGACTAAAATCTCTGACTTTAGCATAATAAAGAAGCTAGTATAAAATCTCGAACTTGGTATTTTGGTCTGTTCTCAGTAACGAGGAGGATGTGACGGCGGTGACGGACAGCAGCGGGAACACTCTCCGGATTCGCCGCGACACCAACCGGATGCCCGTTCGTGTGGTTGCCCCCGACAACCAGGTCCGTACGCTCTCTCTCCCTCTTCCATCAATCACATTTTTGACAAAGTTGTCGATTCACCAGCACAGACCAGAGAATCAAATAGTTAAAACAGAAAATGTAATTATAAAAAACATGTAGAGCCGTTGGTCCAAAAGGAAAACAGGTGGGCAAGAAAAAGTAAATGATAACGTCAAAAGGTGACTATTTCTGAAGTGGTATAGACATTTTGATTCACTAAGACCACGATACACCTCAAACTGAATCAAACTATCAAAAAACATAAAACAAAATCTCATTGCGTTGTTACTAAAATCCAATAGATCCACAGTTTCGGAGTTTTGGCATCAGTTCTGGTGCAGATTCTGCCCTGACTGCGGGGCCCTGTCTTCTGTCGTTCCGGGTGGAGTTGCAGATTTTTCCAATTTTACAGCAGATTATGCCCTGACATGGAGCCTGGCCTTTCAAACTCTCCTTTTCGCTCTCTCTCTGTCTCCCTCTGTCTCTCTCTTTCTCTCTCTCTCCCTCTGACTCATTCTGTGTGTGTGTGTCTCTGTCTCTTCTGTCTCTGTCTCTCTCTCTCTCTCTGGCTCATTCTGTGTGTGTGTGTGTGTGTGTGTTTCTCTCTCTCTTCCTTTTTCTCTCTCTCATTGTATCTCTCTCTCTGTCTCGCTCCCTCTCTCCATCTGTCTCCTTCTCTCTAACGCTCTTTCTCTGTCTAACTTCCTCTTTCCACTCCTCTCTCTCTCTGTCTGTCTCTCTCTCTCCATTTCTCTAACTTTCTCTTTCCCTCTTTCCCTCTCCCCATCTTTCTAACTCTCTCTACCTCTCTTCATCTCTCTGTCTCTGTCTCTCTTTAATTCTCTCTCTCTATCCCCCCATCTCTCTAACTCTCTCTCTCCATCTCTCTAACTATCTCTCTCTCCAACTCTCTCTATCTCTCTCTCTATCTCTCTAACCCTGTCTCTCTCTCTATCACCCTAACTCTCTCTCTCCCTCTCTCTATCACCCTAACTTTCTCTCTCCCTCTCTCTATCAACCTAACTCTCTCTCTCTTTCCATCTCTCTAACTATCTCTCTTTCCAGCTCTCTCTCTCTCTCTCTCTCCATCTCTCTAACTCCCTCCCTCTCTCCCCCCCTCTCTCCATCACCCTAATTCTCTCTTTCTCTCTCTCTCTCCAACTCTCTCTCTCTGTCTCTCTCTCCATCTCTCTAACTCTCTCTGTCTCTCTCTCCATCTCTCTAACTCTCTATCTCTCTCCATCTCTCTAACTCTCTCTCTATCTCTTTCCATCTCTCTAACTCTCTCTCTATCTCTCTCCATCTCTCTAACTCTCTCTCTCTCTCTCTCTAACTCTCTCTCTCTCTCTCTCCATCTCTCTAACTCTCTCTCTATCTCTCTCCATCTCTCTAACTCTCTATCTCTCTCCATCTCTCTAACTCTCTCTCTATCTCTCTCCATCTCTCTAACTCCCTCCCTCTCTCCCCCCCTCTCTCCATCACCCTAATTCTCTCTCTCTCTCTCTCTTTCCATCTCTCTAACTCTCTCTCTATCTCTCTCCATCTCTCTAACTCTCTCCATCTCTCTAACTCTCTCTCTCTCTCTCCATCTCTCTAACTCTCTCTCTATCTCTCTCCATCTCTCTAACTTTCTCTCTCTCTCCATCTCTCTAACTCTCTCTCTCCATCTCTAACTCTCTCTCTCTCTCCATCTCTCTAACTCCCTCCCTCTCTCCCCCCCTCTCTCCATCACCCTAATTCTCTCTCTCTCTCTCTCTTTCCATCTCTAACTCTCTCTCTATCTCTCTCCATCTCTCTAACTCTCTCCATCTCTCTAACTCTCTCTCCATCTCTCTAACTCTCTCTCTATCTCTCTCCATCTCTCTAACTCTCTCTCTCTCTCCATCTCTCTAACTCTCTCTCTATCTCTCTCCATCTCTCTAACTCTCTCTCTCTCTCTCTCTCTCTCCATCTCTCTAACTCTCTCTCTCCATCTCTAACTCTCTCTCTCTCTCCATCTCTCTTACTCCCTCTCTATCTCTCTCCATCTCTCTAACTCTCTCTCTATCTCTCTCCATCTCTCTAACTCTCTAACTCTCTCTCTCCCTCTCTCTCTCTCTCCATCTCTAACTCGCTCCCTCTCTGTATCATCCTAACTCTCTCTCCGTCTTGCAGGTCATATGGCTCACCATCGGCACAAACGGAGGGCTCAAGTCGCTCACCACGCAGGGCCAAGAGCTGGTGCTGTTCAGTTACCACGGCAACAGCGGACTCCTGGCCACCAAGAGCATCCAGATCGGCTGGACCACGTTCTACGAGTGAGTCCGAGCCAGCGCAGAGGGACAGAGGACCTGCACACTATTGTTTTATGTCTGCACTAACACACAGATACACACAGATCTGTGTGTAGTTTCTCTGTGTAGTTGTGAGTAGTCACAACTACACAGAGAAACTACACACACATACACAGAGATACACACAGATATACTACACACACATACACAGAGATACACACAGAGATACTGCACACACATACACAGAGATACACACAGATATACTACACACACATACACAGAGATACACACAGATATACTACACACACATACACAGAGATACACACAGATATACTACACACGCATACACAGAGATACACACAGATACTACTCACAACTACACAGAGATACTACATACACAGAGATACACAGATATACTACACACACATACACAGAGATACACAGATATACTACACACACATACACAGAGATACACACAGATACTTCACACAACTACACAAAACTACACACACATACACAGAGATACACACAGATACTACACACAACTACACACAGATACTACACACAACTATACAGAGATACACACAGATACTTAACACAACTACACAGAGATACACACAGATACTACACACAAATACACAGATACTAAACATGCATAGTTTTAGGCTGTGTTGTGGAGATTCTAAACGACTTAAAAGTATTTTCCCATTGCTGGGGGTTGTGTGACACACATACACAATCACAGTGCATTAAAAAGGGAGATATAATCCCCCAGTTGTATGCACAGCAAAGAGTCAGAGGAGATAGATACTGTATTTATCCCTGTAGGAGAAATTTGGTTTGTTGTACAGGTTTGTTGTACAGTCTGACAGCCGATAGAACAAACGATCTCTTGAATCATTCCGTTCAGCAGCGTCGTGATAGGAGCCTGTTGCTTCGATTACTCCTCTGAGCGGCCATAGTGTCATGCAGAGGGTGTCTGGAGTTACCCAGGATGCCCTGCATTAGAGCCCTGATCCTTCTCTCCAGCACAGCTCCCACAGAGTCCACACTTCTCCCCGTCACAGAGACACATTTCCTGATCTGTCGAGCGGTTTACAGTCTCTCGAGGTCAGACTGCCCCCAACACGCAACCCCGAAGAACACGGCACTAGCTACAACAGACTGGTAAAATATGTGCAACATCTGACTGCTCACATCGAAGGAAGAAGAGTCTGCTCTGACCTTTCCTATTGACAGCATTGGCTTGAGCCGACCAGTCCAGTCATTTTCTGGAAGATTGTTCCAGATTTTAGCTCCCTGAATCTGAAACGCTGTCTCCCCCATGTTTAGTCCTGACTCTGGGCCAGTCCCTGTGCTCCTCAGAGTCCCAGCAGGCTCCTGGTCGAGACCTGAGAACTGGATTAACGTGATTTCACTTCCTGGTTCTAGTCAAGACTCGAGCTGCAGCTTGGAGTAGTGGCAGAAATCTCAGTTCATTAAATTTTTAGCCTAAAAATAATGCATTTCTTCTCAAAGCATTGAAAGATAAAAACAAGTGGTATGACATAGTTTATTTTCCCGTTTAAACCTTTATGAAACATTCTGCAGGCGTATCTTCTCTCAGAACAAACAGTAACATCACCAAACTCCAAACCGTACCTTTTTTACTTTTATTTAGATCTGGCGCTCACCACCACAGGCTCTGGGTGGGGACGGCGCCTGCAGTTTCTGGATGGTACACATGACAGATCTGTGAAGTATAAATGGCAACGCTTTCATGTACATTCAAACGCCGCAGAGCTTTGAAAACCCTCCTCCTACACCCAGCTGCGGCAGCCGTTTGCTAATTCAATGAAGCTATAATAAATACTTTCACACAACACCTCTTTGTCAAAACAGAGCGAAAGAAAAGAAGAGTGAAGTGAATTCTTGGCATAAACTTTTGTATTGAAAAGTCTATGCTATTGTGATTTGTACCAGTTCAATAGTGCAGATGTTTTGTAGTAAAACAACTTTAATTGATTAGAATTTGATAAAGTATGAATGAATTGTTTAGAATAGACTGCATTCCCCTCGTCGAACGTGTTTTGCTGTTTGGTATTGGCCTTTTTCACACCATTTTATGACTTGTGTAGCTGTATTTTTAGCCTCAGATGCTAACAAGTGACAATAATTATCTGATTATACAGTGTATTTGACCGCAATTTTATTTATTATTACCATTCCAAAGTTCAAGTGCTAAGGCAAAGTTACCAGCCGCCTTTGAACGCGTCACAAGGCTTGATTTGCATGTAGACTGGGCCCAGACTGGTCAGACCGATTTGGGAGCAACAAGGAATTGACTCAAGTTATTAGCGTTGTCTGTATTTATAATTTTTTTCTTAATTCGTTGGTAAACAACAACATTTATTTTTGTAGAGCCCTAAATCACAACAGCAGTCACCTCAAAGTACTATACAAAGTTGTCAATTCACCAACAGAAGATTCGACGTACACTGAACTCAAAATAACGGAACGCTCAACTCTTGTGTGTTTCAGTTATGACAGCGAGGGCCGCCTCACCAACGTCACCTTCCCCACCGGAGTGGTCACTAATCTCCATGGAGACATGTCTTCGGGGGCCGTTGCCGTGGACATCGAGACGTCGGGGAGGGACGAGGACGTGTCCATCACCACAAACCTGTCCTCCATAGACTCCTTCTACACTCTGGTGCAAGGTGAGGCACAAGCATGAGTTTAAAGGAGACATACTATGAACACTAACTTTTTTATTTTGCTTTTAACCGTGTTACAACATTGCTCCCTCATCAACAACAGACCTGGAGTTGTTTTTAGATCCATCCATGCTTGTATTAGGAACTTCTGCCACAAACATGTATCTCCGCCCCTTCTAGCCCTGGCTCTAGTCTTGGCTATACTGAAGCTGTGCAATGCAGGGCCTGGTTAGTACTGTGATGGGAGACCTCAGTGGGGCGGCTGTGGCTGTAAAGTGCCAAACTATAGTTGTGTCCTTAGGCAAGACACTTCACCCACATTAGAGTGACTCTGGTGTGGTGGTGGTTTGCCGGTTGCCTCGCTTCTGTCAGTGTGCCCCAGGGCAGCTGTGGCTACAGTAGTAGTTTATCAGTAGTGTATGGAACAAATTATTTTTATTAGTATGATGTAATTGTACCACTATGACATCACACTAAACAAAAGTATTGCCCATAAATTACTTTTGGCAGTGAAAGAGCATTATTTTCAATCACATTTTCCAATTTGGAAAAAAAACAAAAATCTACCCTCTGGTGGCAGCATAGGGGTAGTGCAGGCCGATCACATTTTCAACTCTTTATATTTCACCCAATATTTCCGCTGAAGATATTAATTCACATTCTAAGACATGAAATGAATAGTAAATAGTCTCATTATCATTTTTAATGGCCAAAATTAATGCATGATATTTCTTCTTTAACTATTTAAAAGTCTGTTATAGTCCATTCTGTTTTAATGTGCATCTGGATCCGGCCACTCCTGAACATCTGTCGAAAAGAACACTTCGCCAGATTGTATTGAAATTAACCTTAAGGAGTTATTCTCTCCACGGTCGTAAGTTATTCAAATTTCCTTTGTCCTAATATGGCCTCAGAAATTGCACAAACAATACAACTGTAAAAGATTTTGTATTTAACACTTGGACTCAGATTCAGATTCAGATTATTTGCAGTTTGCAGTAAAACCACATTGGAATAGCTGTGCAAGAGTCCCCCAGTGTGCACCAGACAGAGCAGATAGTGCACACCCGCGCTCTTGCCACTCCCAGAGCCGTCATTTTGACTGCTCCAATCCAAACAATGGAATTTTGAGAAATAATCCCAAAAAAATGAAATTATTTTCCGAAAGTAAATAATCGCTGATACCAATATTCCTTATTACTAAGTGCTAAAACTGATGGATTTAACTTGAAATATAGTAAAAACTGTTGAAAGGCTACAAAATGCTAACTGTGCTAATTTCTACAGCGTGTTGCTATGGTAACCAGTAATGGCCCTTCTCTGGTGGAAAAACCAAACCGTCTTGACTCAGGACCAGTCCAGGACCGGTCCGTAACCAGTATGGGACCAGTTTTTAATCTGTCCAGAACCACCAGTCCTGAACCACCAGTCCAGCACCACCAGTCCAGAACCACTAGTCCAGAACCAGTCCTGAATCAGTCCAAAACCAGTCCAGGACTAGCACTTTGGAAAATAGTGACTTTGCTGCCATAGAAAGTTGGATTCAAGAAACGCAAAATGGCTGCACTTAAATTTGACTTTCAGTTAAAGGTTCCAACAATAAACCCGTCAAATTGACTGCTCTGGGAGTTCTCATATTAAATATCTTAATATCAGAAAGTTCAGTCCAACCCTTGCTCTCCGGCTGCATACAGTATATATATGTTTATTTATTTCTGCTCGTTTCACCTTTGCCTCTGCGTTAGTGGAAAGGCTCCCGGCCCTGTGTACCGTCTCACATACTGTTTGTAGCTGTTGCATCATGGGAACAGATACTGATTCGCTGCAGCCGCTTTGATTCCCACAGAAATGCCTCCAGCGCTCTGCCAACCGCACTCTGAGGCCCTGTCTACACGTAGCAGGGCATTTATAAATCCGCCCTCCGCCTAAAAAAAAACTTCTGTCCACACAGCCTCGGTTTTTAAAAAAACGGCATCCACACCTAACCGCATACATGCGTTACAAGTGCCCAGTTATAGCTTTACAGACCTGCCTAACTATGTTTGAGACAACCTGCCTCGATAAACCAAATGCGTTTGCCGTTTTTTGTAATCTTCCCTCGTCAGATAAATAGTACAGCGTGCAAGCAACTTTCTTGACGACACTGACCGGCGATCGCGTAATAACTCCGACAACGACAGCAGTGAGGACCGTGACATTCTGAAATTGTCTCGCCATTCCTCCGGGAGGACGACTTCCATCTCAAAGTTCTCCCACCAGCTGGCAGTGCGTCCCGGTCTGACCCAAAATTGCCGTTGCCGTCTTTGACGAGGAACATGTCTTGGACGAGGGATGGTTATTTGGCGGAAAATAGCCGACCTTAAAGTGCTCCTTCGTCTGTGCTCTTCAACGTGAAGCAGTATTTGAGCTTGTAAAAACAAGCAAGCAAAAAGTGCCTGAACAATCGTTAAAACAAAAGCGGTTTTGATGGCCTCCATGTTGTTTCTGATGTAAACACAGGTCGCGCGTGTGACGTCAGAGCAGCACGCTGGTAGTGACGTACAGCCGAATACTCCGGTTATTTATGTCCACACTCAAACGCATAACCGGAGAATTCCCAAATCTTCACTTTGGCCGGAGTTTTCAGAAACCTTCGTTTTTATCGACAGAAAACTCCGGGTTTGTGTGGATGATAGGCCAGATCGTAGGAAAATATCTTCGGTTTGTGAGATACCCTGCTACGTGTAGACGGGGCCTGAGAAACAACCTCAACATAAACATTCGGCTAAATGTATTTATCCACCGCTAAAACTTGATAAAAGTCAGCCCTGCATCCGGGCACCGCACCTCCACGGAGAGAGAGAAGCATTGTGGGAAAAATATATAGCATAAAGTACATATGTAATCATAAATCAATATTGTGTGTGTGTGTGTGTGTGTGTGTTGTTGTTGTTGTGAGGTTGGAGGTATTGGGACACAGGTCTATATGTGAGCAAAGTAAATAAGTTATTCAAAAGCATTGACGAGACCCAGGACTTTTCATCCATAAATATGCATTATTTATACTGGGTCTTTCTCAGCGGTACACACAGATACTGCTGCTACTACTACTTCTACAACTACTACTTCTACAACTAGTACTGATCTTGCTGCTGCTGCTACTATTACTACTACTACAACAAACACTACTAGTACTGTTGCTGCTACTATCGCTACTACTACTTCTACTACTAGTACCAATAGTGCGTTGTTACGACTACAACTACACATACTACTTTAACTACTACTTATAAAATAAATGAAACTATTACTGCCACTAAAAATAGCTACATATTGCTACTATGACTACGATTACTACGAACAAATACTGCTTCAATGACTACCACACTACTACTGTTAGATACTACTATTACTGCTGCTACAACTACATCCATACTACGGCTACTGCTACTACTACTGCTGCTGCTTCTGCTGCTGCTACACTACTAATACAACTTCTACTACTTTTGTCATTACGGCGTTTGGAGTTAGTGAAAATTACTAACAGTAGTAAAGCGCTTTCTGTGACCTTGGTCTTTGAAATTCACTATGTATGAATATGATATCACTTTCTATTATAGTTACTATGGCTACTACAGCTGAAGCTTTACTACTACCAATACTACTACTACTACTACTACTACTACCACGATTACTACTACTACTACTACTTCTATTCATCTAATTAAAATGATAAAATAAGTACGCACCACGGTTTGAGATTCACCGAAACTATTGGGGAAACACTATTTTCAATCTCCAAACCAGAATGCTCTAAATCCACGTTTATAAATATCCCTCACTCACAATCAGTTCAGTCTGTTTCCCTAATCCTTCAGATAACGGCTGAAAATAAACTTTTAATTAGTGTAATACAAGTGGAATTTGGACCAAAGGGATTTTAGAGTGAATTCCTAGGCGACATAATGACTCTGGTTGTCCATATGTAGAGGCCTCTCTGTGGATATTGGGTTTTTTGGGTGATAAACTACTGTAGCCACAGCTGCCCTGGGGCACACAGACAGAAGCGAGGCAACCAGTATGTGCCACTGGCCTCTCCAACCACCACTAAACTTTTTATATTTCCTTCTTTATATGTGCTTTATTATGCTAAAGATCAATATTTACTTGATTTTAGTGGAGTGCTCCTCATTCCTTCTCTTCTGGATCTGGCGATGCAACACTGAAATTTCCCCACTGTGGTATGAATAAAGGCTCTCTTAATCTTAACCATTCACACACACACACACAAACACACACACACACACCAGACTCATTCTAATGTGGGTGAAGTATCTTGCCTAAGGACACAACCACAGTTTGACACTTTACAGCCGCAGTCGCCCCACTGTGGCACCCCGAGGTCTCCCATCACAGTACTAACCAGGCCCTGCCCTGCTTAGCCTCAGAGTTCTGACGGGATCAACCCTCGGCTCAAATACATGATATTTTCTGAGTAAATTTACCACTGGCTTTATAGTATGTGTATTTTTATTTTCTTTCTCGTATTACTCTCGCCACAGACCAGCTACGGAACAGTTACCATGTGGGGAACGACCATTCGCTGCGGGTCATCTACGCCAACGGCATGGACAGCCACTTCCAGACCGAGCCTCATATTCTCGCAGGTAAATCTTTTTTCTAAGTAGTAGGAGAAGTAGAAAAACAAAATTATCTTGTTTTTTAGTTTTGGTTTTGACCACCTGGTGTTTTGATTATAGACCTCTACCACATGGTTGAGACGCAGCTTGATGGTTTATGTTTCAAATACATAGTTAAATACAATATATCATTTAATACCAACACATCTACTGCGATCTCGGGTTGATATTTTGTTTTAATGATATAACTCTCTCTCTGGTCTCTCTCTCTCTCTCTAGTTTCTCTCTCTCTGGTCCCTCTTCAGTTTCTCTCTCTGGTTTCTCTGGCTCTGGTATCTTCTCTCTCTGGTTTCTTTCTTTCTATGCTTTCTCTCTCTAGTTTTTCTCTATCTCTGGTCTCTTTCTCTGATCCTTCTCCAGTTTCTCTTTCTGGTTTCTCTCGCTCTGGTTTCTTTCTTTGGTCTTTCTCTCTCTGGTTTCTCTGTCTGGTCTTTCTCTGGACTCTCTGTCTGGTCTCTCTCTCTTTCTCTGGTATCTCTCCGGTGTCTTGCTCTCTCTGCTTTCTCTGTCTTTGGTTTCTTTCTCTCTGGTCTCTCTCTGTCTAGTCTCTTTCTCTGGTCTCTCTCTCTCTCTCTCTCTCTCTCTTTCTCTCTATCTCTCTCTCTAGTCTCTCTCTCTGTTCTCTCTCTCTCTCTCTCTCTGGTCTCTCTCTCTCTCTCTCTCTCTCTCTCTCTCTGGTCTCTCTCTCTCTCTCTCTCTGGTCTCTCTCTCTCTCTCTCTCTGGTCTCTCTCTCTCTCTCTCTGGTCTCTCTCTCTGGTCTCTCTCTCTCTGTCTCTCTCTCTGGTCTCTCTCTCTGGTCTCTCTCTCTCTCTCTGGTCTGTCTCTGTTCTCTCTGTCTAGTCTCTTTCTCTGGTCTCTCTCTCGCTCGCTCATTGTAAATTCCGCCGTTGCTTTCACATAAAACATGGCTGCTGCTGATGCCGCACCAGATCAAGGCGAGCTATTGTCCAGAGCAGATACACATTCAATAACTTTTCTATTATGCCTCGAGATACTACAGACGAGTTATCTTTAAATGTGACGATTGTAGCGTCTGTCAAAGGGAAGTCTGTGGCCTTTGTGCCGCTGTCTCGCTGACACTTTCTATATTACCTTAAATGTTCTGTGCCGTGCTTTAAGCTGACTTTATGCACTGAAATGACTCTTCAGCGTTGGTGAGAAACGTTTAAGATGCTATACTTTTATGATTTGCATTGCTTTGATCAATAGAGAGGATTCGTTTGTGAGTTTAGAGTCGATCAGGCAGCAGTGTGCAAGCCCCTCCCCCAGCCTTGGCCGAGATACTAGAAAATCTTTATATGTATATGATAAAAAAAAATATTTTTACGTAAGCTCCTTTTCCACCAGCCCTATTCTACTCTTCTCTACTTTACTCAGTCCAAGACTGGTGACCCGTCCAGGACCGGTCCAGTCCAAAGCCAGTCCGGAATCAGTCCAAAGCCATTTCAAAACTAGTCCAAAATCAGTCTAAAACCAGTCCAAACCCAGTCCAGAACCAGTCAAAGACCAGTCCAAAACCAGTCCGAGTCCAAAATTAGTCCATAACCGGTTCAGGACCAGTCCAAGACCAGTTCTAGATCAGTCCAAGGCCAGTCCAATATCAGTTTGAGATCAGTCCGAGACCAGTCCGAGACCAGTCCGAGACCAGTCCGAGACCAGTCCGAGACCAGTCCAAGCGCAGTCCAAGCGCAGTCCAAGCGCAGTCCAAGCGCAGTCCAAGCGCTGTCCAAGCCCAGTCCAAGCCCAGTTCATTCCCAGTCCAAAGGAAACCTCACAGTATTTACCCACATTGACAGAGCCTATGCTTTCATCCGTCTCATATCTGCAGAGTCTGTCTCTCCTCCTCTTCCGTTTGCCTCACTCCCTTCACTTTCTCTCAGTATCAGTCCTTATTGTCCTCTGGTCTCGCACGGCTGGCCCAGACGTAGAAACCACTGAGTGTGAAGTGGATTGCCAGAGACAGGAGAGTCATGTGTGGTTTGCCGTAGCGCCGCAGATCTGGTTAGTGCAGGTGAACACCGTACACCGACGGCTCTGTTTGTGCCCAGGTTTAACATGTGTTCACTTCTGCACACAACACTCTCTCATAAACGCTCGCACAAACACACTGCGGAGAGCGGCGTGGGATTGTTGGAGCCGGTCAGTCCTGAAATAAACATAGACTAGTGATAAAATGGGAGAAAATGTACATTATTTTACAGATGGATTCAATTCAATGTGTTTTTGTATAGCCCTAAATCACAACAGGGCTCTGATGTTGTCTCCCTACTACAGTATGTCCTGATTTATACAAGTCTCTCTCTCTTTCTCTGGTCCTTCTCTGGGATCTTTGGTGTCTCTCTCTCTGGTCTCTCTCTGTCTGGTCTCTCTCTCTCTCTAGTGTCTCTTTAGTCTCTCTCTGCTCTCTCTATGCTCTCTCTGGACTCTCTCTCTGTGGTCTTCCTTCTCTGATCTCTCCCTCTCTGGTCTCACTCTGATCTCTCTCTCATTGGTCTCGCTCTCTGATGTCTCTCTCTGATCTATCTCTCTCTCTCTCTCTCTGATCTCACTCTCTGGTCTCTCTCCGTCTGGTGTCTCTCTCTCTCTCTCTCTATTCTCTCTTTTGTCTCGCTCTATGGTTTCTCTCTCTCTGCTCTCTCTATGCTCTCTCTGGACTCTCTCTCTCTGGTCTTCCTTCTCTGATCTCTCCCTCTCTGGTCTCACTCTGATCTCTCTCTCATTGGTCTTTCTCTCTAGTCTCTCCCTCTCTGCCCTCTCTCTCTCTAGTCTCTCCCTCTCTGGCCTCTCTCTCTCTCTGGTCTCTTTCTCTCTGCGCTCTCTCGCTAGTCTCTCTCTCTCTCTGCCCTCTCTCTCTCTCTCTGGTCTCTCTCCCTCTTTGCCATCTCTCTCTCTTGTCTCTCTCTCTCTCTCTGGTCTCTCTCCCTCTTTGCCATCTCTCTCTCTTGTCTCTCTCTCTCTCTCTGGTCTCTCTCCCTCTTTGCCATCTCTCTCTCTTGTCTCTCTCTCTCTCTTTGGTCTCTCTCCCTCTTTGCCATCTCTCTCTCTTGTCTCTCTCTCTCTCTCTGGTCTCTCTCCCTCTTTGCCATCTCTCTCTCTTGTCTCTCTCTCTCTCTCCCTCAGTGTTCTGTTCCTTGGCTTCAGCTCATCCATAAAACGCCTCCGTTGCTTTCGCAGGTGCAGCCAATCCCACCGTCGCTCGCCGGAACATGACTCTTCCGGGAGAGAACGGACAGAATCTGGTCGAGTGGAGGTTTCGCAAGGAGCAGAACCGAGGAAAGGTGGTCGTGTACGGACGCAAGCTCAGGGTAAGGACTATGAAAGACCAGAGACTGTAGACAGATGGACCATGCTAACCCGCTAGCTCCATCTTGCTAGCTGGCTCGTATTGGCTTACAAGGAAAAGTAAGCTCCTCTCGCTCAGTAACCGTTTGTGTCACAATCACCATTTTTGTCTTAAAAAATCTGGGGTTTAGTTCTCTTTGTGGTTTTGATGTTTTTATTGTTATATTGTCTTTGTAAATCCAGAAATGAGCCGGAAGGATTGATCAATCAGTACATTCTCAATATATAGCCAATGGCAAGACTTAAATAAGATACACACTGTAGATACAAAGTAGCCACTGTGATAATTTGTTTTGGTTTCATTCTATAGTAAAAGTAGGAACATTTACAACACATTATTTAGTGACTCACAAGGCTCTATCTAGTCTAGAAGAAAAGTTGGAGGTCTGAGATTGGATGGTTGAGATACCGGTTTTAAAACTACGAGAAGAACACATTTTACCACATCTCTTGTTACTCAAAAGTTAATCTCGTTGACTTTATTGATAAAAAATGTCTAACACGATAAAGGCGACATCTTGTTATCAGATTTGTTCCAACATTTATTTTACCTCCTGGGGGGACGGACAGTGTATTATGAATGAACTCGATCTGATCCATATTGAAGAGATCCGAGGAACTTTGCCGGTTGTAATTTAATACAATTGGACAATGTTTGAGGCATTTATTTCTTAAACCTGTTTGTATGTATGTGAGAGGTGTGAGGAGAAGGTCTGTCCTCAGTCAAACCTGAACATTCTCTCGCTCTGGTCTCTCTCTCTCTGGTTTCTCTCTCTGGTGTCTCTCTGGTTTCTCTCTGGTCTCTCTCTTTGGTCTCTCTCTGGTCTCTCTCAGGTCTCTCTCAGGTCTCTCTCTGGTATCTCTCTTGTCTCTCTCTGGTCTCTCTCTCTGGTCTCTCTCTTTGGTCTCTCTCTGGTCTCTCTCTGGTCTCTCTCTGGTTTCTCGCTCTGGTCTCACTCTGGTCTCTCTCTGGTCTCTCTCTGGTGTCTCTCTCTGGTTTCTCTCTTTGGTCTCTCTCTGGTTTCTCTCTCTGGTCTCTCTCGCTCTGGTCTCTCGCTTTTGTCTCTCTCTCTGGTATCTGGTCATTCTCTGGTTTCTCTCTCTGGTCTCTCTGGTTTCTCGCTCTGGTCTCGCTCTGGTCTCTCTCTGGTCTCTCTCTAGTCTCTCTCTCTGGTCTCTCTCTCTGGTCTCTCTCTGGTCTTTCTCGCTCTGGTCTCTCGCTCCTGTCTCTCTCTCTGGTATCTGGTCATTCGCTTGTCTCTCGCTGGTCTCTATCTGGTTTCTCTCTCTGATCTCCCTCTCTTCCCCTCTCTCTCTCTCTCTCGTCTCTCTTGCTCTGGTCTCTCGCTCTGGTCTCCTGCTCTGGTCTCCCGCTCTGGTCTCTCTTCTCTCTCTTTCGCTCTGGTCTCTCTCTCTGGTATCTTTCTCTGGTCATTCACTGGTGTCTCACTAGACTCTCTCTTACTGGTCTCTCTCATTCTCTCTCTAATCTCCCTCTCGTCTCTCTGGCTCCGCTCTCTGGCCCCACTCTCTGGTCTCTATCTCTAGTCTCTCTCTAGGCTCTCTCTCTTTCTGTTATCTCTCTCTCTGGTCTCTCTCTCTCTGGTCATAACCTACAGCCAAACAACCACATAACTGGTTCTTACATCATATTCAAATATTTCACACATTTCTTTCCAACTCCCCTCAGTGTGTTTCATTCATAATTGTTATCCGATTGTTATTTATTCTCTGGGCCGTGTAATTGCTGCTAAAAGCGGGAGAAATGGTTGTTAAAGAGCCTGGTTCTCTCGTGGGCTTCTGGTATGATTTATGGTCCGAGCCGGTGGACCACTCCAGCGTAGTCTCTCTGATCATAAATTTCAGGCAAAGCACCGAAACTGAGGAAACAATTATAACACAAGTGTTTCCAGAAGTTACTCCCCGACACGATGAGGGTCACTGGGCTCATGTCCCAGAATGCAACTGTTCTCCAAGGCACGATTACTCTGTCAGGATCTACAGGAGTCCAGGAAATCAGAGTTTGTGTCATTTTGGTATTTTGGTGTATTACTGGAGACGAGATGAAAACACAGATTTGGTCTCTCTCTGGTCTCTCTCTCCGGTCTTCCTCTGGTCTCTCTCTGGTCTCTCTCTGGTCCCTCTCTGGTCCCTCTCTAGTCTTTCTCTGGTCTCCCTCTAGTCTCTCTCTCTGGTCTCCCTCTTGTCTCTCTCTCCGGTCTCTTTCTGGTCTCGCTCTGTGGTCTTTCTCTGGCCTCTCTCTCTGGTCTCTCTCTGGTCTCCCTCTGGTCTCTCTCTCTCTGGTCTCTCTCTGGTCTTCCTCTTGTCTCTCTCTCTCTGGTCTCTCTCTGGTCTCCCTCTTGTCTCTCTCTCTCTAGGACCTCTAGGATTATTAGTTGATATCAGAACATCCAGACAGAAACTGACTTTGTTGGTTTTGCTCTGTATCTTGGTTTAGCCGTAGTATGGGTTATCAAGATACTTCCTCCAACATCATCACATTCATAGATAAGATGAGAGCGCCTTTATTTGTCCCACAGTGGGGAAATTCCAGTGTTGTAGCGCACATACAGGACCAAATCAGCACAAGGAGCACACAAAAAATACAATAGAAGCTGTTATGTTACTTAGCTGCATATGCTTCAATATCTATCCATCTATCTATCTATCTATATAGTGTAAAGTTATATACAATAAGTTATGTTATAGAAATAGGGCAGATTGATAAGTACATGAAGTGACATTCAGTGGACATTCTGAAATTGCAGTTTTGCACAAAGAACAGGTCTAGTCATAACCTATAAAAGAGAGTATAGTTCCGTGTACATGGTGCCTCTGCTGGTGCTGCCTTACCTGGTCCTGGCAGGTGGCCCGTCTGATCCCTCTGCTCCTGCTCTTTACACAGACTGTCGCAGGGAGGTCTCACTTCGTCACAGATCTCCACACACCATCTGTGCTGTTCCAGGGGAAAGAAAAAAAAAACCTTTGGGGCAAAAGTGTCCGACACTGGAACAAAAGGTGCAGATGGATCACGCCTCAATAACACTGCAGTGAATAGGTCTGACCCCACAAGATGGAGAGGGTGGTTTGTGTACGTAATGATACAAAATGCCAACGATTAAACAGTAACTCTGCTGTCTCTGGAGTTTGAGTTAGGTTCTGCAGTTTGTCATTTGTCCAGAAATATAGGCAAAGTTTATTTATTATATACAATAAATGTGAATACATACACAAGGCGACTATTTATAAAAACATTGATCATCATACTACATTAAACAGAGTAAAGATACAATCCTTCAGTTGTATGCAGCTAATCTGATTTTTTTTTTTTACCTGGATTTGAACTTTGTCAGAGTAGAAGTCTGTCTCCCGTATTCAGTAAGACTTAATCTGATTTTAGCTGCATAAATCTGAAATGCTGCATCCCCATGTTTAGTCCTGATTCTGGGCACCAGCAGGAGGTTAGTCCCTGTGCTCCTCAGAATCCCAGCAGGAGGTTAGTCCCTGTGCTCCTCAGAGTCCCAGCAGGAGGCCAGTCCCTAGATAGATTTATAGATACATGCTTACATACATACATAGATACTGTAGATAGATCGATAGATACTGTATATAGACACCATATTGACCCCGTGGGAGATATTCTGTTGTCCAGCAGCAGAAACACATCCATACAAACAAACAACAAAAACATCATTCTAAAAGTTACTAACAATAGTAACAGACTGCAAGAACACTTCAGTCACAGCAGCAGCAGAGATGGCGGTGTAGACGCTGAATGGAGCGGGACAAGGGTCTATTCTTCCAAATTACACTGGTCCGACCCTCACCTCGAGCAATATCTCAGAATAACTGCCCATCCTACCACACCAGCCAAAGTAAGATAAGATAAGAGAGCCTTTATTTGTCCCACAAAGGGGAAATAGGACGATAGTGAGACACTAGGAGCAAATATACAGAGATAAGTAGCTGTGAATGCTTCTTATTTAGCTCTAAATGCTTAATGAGAGCAGTTAGTTGAAGTTGAAAGTGCTTTTTGCCGGTCTATAGCTTTCACTCTGAGGTTATAATCACGATATTTATGAGAAAAAGCCATAGTTTTGGTAGTAAACTCCGCTCGGCAGGACCATGCAACCCCCTCCTCTCTGTATATCCAGACTATATTCATACCTCACACTTAAACAGACTCTAGTTTGCCTGCACCCTTTGAATTTTACATGAAGCCTTTGTCCAGGACCTGTAATGGTGCGAAAAACTGTCAGTGCTTTTCCCTCTGGGGGGTCGGACACGGCGGCGGCATGGAGGGGGGGGCCTGCGATAACGAGATTGTGCGAGAAAGAAGTAAACAGTATGCATATCCAGGAGGCAGATGTTGGGCAGTGTGTGTGTGGTGATGCGCTGGTGTCGTGGTGAGTGGGTAATGATGATGAGGTGTGAGTGTAAGGCCAGAGAAACAGCGAGGGATGCATGCTAAATGCTAATGCGACCGCGGCGAGCTAATGCAACAGCGGAGAGAACAGTGTGATGTAGTGATACGACAGAGACCGGGAAGTGTCAATCTTTCTGTTGTTTACTCCCATGTTGTTTCTGTTTCTGTTTGTATCGGCCGTGCCATGATCAAATGTTTGGGCGGCGGTTCAGGAGTGTGTGAAGCTGTACTTCTGTTTTCTATTTTATTCCATTCAATGTATTTTTGTATAGCCTTGAATCAAAACAGTAGTTATCTCCGAGGACTTCACAAAACTTGTCGTTTCACAAACACAGATCAGAGAATTGTGGGATTGTGTCGACCGGCAGAAGACTTGTGTTGTGGCAATTGTTGAGAGTGTCTTGCCACTGTAAGCAGCCTGGGCTATAGCTTTAGCTTGACGTGTGCTCTTGAGAAAATAAACAGATTGAATGTCCAGACTTACGGGATAACGGAGAAATGTGGTTTTAATGGAGGCACAGGTTTCATGGTTCCAAA